ATGGTGTTAAGGCAACAATTTTAAGCATTAACTGCCAGAGTATCTCGACGTTTATAATGTTAAGTAGAATTTTCACTTTTGAATCGAGGCAACTGTCATCCAACGAGATAAGCCTGTGTCGAACTTCATAAATGTGATATCACACATTACAAATCCAAATATGTTAATTTTTCATGCATCAACGTCTAAAAATGATACATTTGAGTGAAGCTCTTTTATGCTCCTCCGTTTTAGGTTACGTCATTTAAAACGTCGTTTAATGGTGTTAAATTATAAATAACGTCCAATCGTGTCAAATGACATGATTTAAAACGGCAAGAAATGTGTAAGAAAAGCCTCAGCTAAAATAACATATTTGAATTTGCAGTGTACACATAATATAAATCCGAGTTTTTTCAGTTGAATCATATTATATACGCGACATTACGTTTGTAATCGTGATTCTATCAGAAAATTCACGCGTCTAACTCGTCGTAAGAGCGTGCGCGTACGAGGCGCAATTCAGAGAACAGAAGTCTCAAGATCGACACTCAGTGGATTCTCGCCTCGATGACGCAGGCCGGTTATTAACTGCCATCGCGATAATCGCGAACGAAGACAATACGCTCCGCTCAACCGGCCGACGTTCCTCAGGTGCTTTTATCGTCATACCTGCGCGACCCAGCGTGACATCTCGACGGCGCGATTACGTAAACGACACACCACGCTCGTGATCGTCGTAGACTCATCCCGTCGGGCAATTTTGCCTTCCCGCGTCTCGCCGGTCCCGTTAAACACGAAGACAGCCTGTCTGCCGCACCGAAAGTGGGCCGCAAATTCGTCATTGACGGGCGCGGATGTGTTCAAGAAAAAATCAGAAGCCTCGATCTCCGTCCGATTCGCGAGAAAGAGAAAACCTCGTTCTTCATTACGTCAGCGGAAGAAGCTAAATCTTCGCTGAAATGGTCTGACAGTTCGTTGATTCGAATTTGTTGATGCGTCACTTGGATTAAATGTCACCAAACAGTCATTACATAACCGCGTGACTATGTATAAAACGAGCGTATAAAATCGCGTGGCTGGAAGGAATCGATTTTTCTATGCGAATTTCGCGAACGCTTCTCACGAGACGTTGCGTCACAATTACGATAAAAATAGCATATTTATTCCCAGATAACGTATCATTGCAATCCTTGTCGGTGACTCTATCGTTGCTCATCGCTTATTCTCTAAACCACTACAATATCGTGTTCTCGATATTTTATTAGCGATCCATTTTAACAAAAAATTGCTTATTCACGGATATTTCCGTGCAGGATCCGCAATGTACACGCGTAGTGGTTCGACGGGAAATCGACGGATCGTGCACGATCTGTATTGTGACCTGTGATATTTCCTTCGAAATAGCTAATCCGTGCAAACAACTCGCAGGTGATATCGCCGATCAAAAACCTCGGTCAATCGACATTTCTAGCGGTACACAGGCAAATGGTCGCACGAACGAATCTCCTTCGATCCTCGTTCCTTATCCGTTTTACGGCTTTACTTTTTTCCTCAACTGATCTACTTCAAGCACCTCCCGTACAGAAGAGTACGAGGAAGAAAAAATTCCTCGACCGTTCTTTCTCCCGAACAGCCTCGTTGCGGGTAATAGCACGTTAGTATGGGCGCGTCGACGAAAGGAACAGTCGAACAGCTCAAAAAGTAGACCTGAAAGTCGATCGCCATTTAGCAGCGGGTTCTCCATCGGGCGAAAGTTGAAACTTCCACGTATCTCCGGTCTTTGAAGGTCGGGCAAATATTCTTGTTCGAGGGTTTGAAGAAGCGAGTCGCGGAAATACTCGTCAAATATTAGCCGACTGCTGATGATGATCGGACGACGAATAATTTTTTTCTAGCAGTGCGATACATGTGACAATATATACGATTCAACTAAGAATAATAATGCGGGTCAGTCAGTTGAGAGAGGTCAGGCAATTTTTTTCGAAAGTTTCTAATAAATCGATGAATTATTCGAGATTCTAATAACGACGGATGCTAATGACCGAAAGTAGAACACGCAGAAGCCGGAACGGCCGAGGTCCAAGCGAGAATGTAATCAATGCGATACAAGACGAGATATTCGTCCAGTTGTTGGATTTGCGACATTCGCTAAGTCGAGAAAGGATAAAAAAAAAGTAAAGATCGTTATTCACGAGAATAATAATCCGTATTTGAAAACGCAAACAGCGATTCGTGCAGAATCACAGCGCTTCTTTCCACGAATAAATCACTGCGACTTCTCGCTCGGAGGTTAGCCTATGAGGAAGGATAGATTCCTGATTAGCCGATTCGGTCGGAGGATACCACGAAGGAGACCGCGAATAATTACGACGAGCTCCTTGAGTGATAATCACGGAACTTATGATGCATCTCTCGTTCGCTCGCGGTGAATATATGTAAATAAAGGAAAAAGCTAAAAGAAAAATACAAAAGTCACCTACTCGAAAGACGCGTAAATTTGGCTGAATAAGAGGTTTTTGTAAAACTCTTTTTATCATCAATCGCTGCCTGCGACAATAACAAAAACAGCGCCGAGTGTGACTCGGCAATTTTGCGCCGGGGGAAAATCTACACGTCTCGTCGGCCGATGAGAATTATTATTTCACCGAGAAACCCACTTAGTTGAATCGAACAAAATGCTTGTCTGGATATGGGCAAATAAATGTTTTGACTGTGAGAACCAAAGTTTTAAAAAGTCTAAAACGAAAATGAAAAAGGAGCGGAGAACGAAATTTTGGTTCTCACAAGCAAAATATTTGTTTCTCCATGTCCAAACAAGCATTTTGTTTGAGTCAACTAAATGGGGTTTTTAATGTATTATTATTAAGTATACGGGAGTAATTTTTCCTCCGGTACAAGAAATATATTTCCAAAAAGGCCTTGAATTTTGAAATTTCCTGTATGCGTTTCCTTTAATAAGGGTAAAAAAAAATTTATTTTCATAGACATTTGAATACGGAAGCGATAGTCAAAAAACCGAGTTTACAGCCTCATCCGTTAGTTCTGGGATATTCCGTGAGCAGCAGCAAAGCGAGATAGATAAGTTCGCGAGAGAATTTAGATAAATAGTAAAAGCCTGGCAGTGTTATCATGTTACGCTGCGTAACGAGTTCCGCGAGTCTTCCGCAAATTGAAGTGACATTTTGCAGTTACGATCGATTAATCGTGCCGGTCGCTGACCACGCGGAATTTGTCTTAAAATCGTGTCACACCTCCGACTCCGACCGGTCCCAGGAAGCGGTTCGGGACCGGGTCCCGATCGTAATCTGAGCGACTTTTGCTTTTCGTTCGCACGGCCGAATCTGCGAGCGATACTTCGACGAGATCGAAACGTAGCGGAATACAAACGAACGATGATACTTCAGACAGCACGTCGTTCCAATTCTTTTACGAGATGAGTCGTATGGCTTCGCAATCTCGAAGTCTCGGTCTCGAGCCAGTGTGGTATGTGAGTGAGCGCGTGAATAGGATTTATTATTGTGCGTATACTCTTTCAAGACGTACAATAATTACAGAAATGACGCCTAATTGAATATAAATCGCAATGCCAATATTGTGATTAACACCGTTCGCTATCACGGTTTATTTGGGGAACTCGCAGACCACATTGTATTTGTTTTTATATAATTGTGTAAAACAGACGTTGTTTATGTGGATATAAAAAGAAATCACCGCCGTTGTACGTATGTGACGTATCAAACATGTTAACTATACGAAGAAAATAGTAGTAAAAATTACCACGAAATTTCGTAATGTTAGACCGTTACGTAATGTTAGAATAATGACTGAAATTATGATATGTGTTGTAATCTTTAGTGATGTGTACAATAAGATACATTATTGGTACGATCCAATATTGCAAAATTTCGTGATAATTTTTGCCACAGCATTTTCTCCGTGTAGAATTGAAAATTTTGAATAAATACGAGCCTGAAGCGAGAGATCGTGACACACATGAGTGACGCTTCAGGACACGTGTGGCAAGGCACGTGCAGCCTGACAGCCTGGCAACGTAACGAAACGAGGGTACGAAGGAGTAATTTTTCACCGTAAGATTAATTCGACATAATTCTAAATTAATGTCGAACGGAGGCGAAGCGTGCATCGCAAATGCGAGCTGTCAGCGCGGTATCGGCGCCGTTACCGCCGATCCGACGCGCGATTTCGCGATAGACACGGGTTCCCTGGCACAAGCGATCGACTCCCCACTATGAGGAAGCCATAGGTCGTGCACACTGTGCACAGGTGGACGAGGACGACAACGTCGACGACGACTACGACGGCGGCGGTGGTGATACGTGCGTGTCGCATTCGGCGAACCTCAGTCGCGAGCGAACGGTAGGAGCGCGCGAGTGCGATTTCGCGACAGCGCGCGAGTTCGGGAGGGCGAGAGTTGCGCGAAAAACGTGACGAATGTGCCGCGGTATAAGCTAAACCGGAGAAGGTGAGATGACGCACGGAGATTTCTGATTCCGCCGATTATGCTACTCCGACGCTCGCATCCGACGGACAGGTCGTCGTTACGATCGTCGGGGACGTTCCGATTGACGAAAGCGCGCGAAACGTGTGCTCGCTGGGAAACAGGTGAATCAAGAGGAGCTCTGCCTGCCGGTCTATTGTGGGAAATTCAACTCTAGTCTTGGCGCGCTCCCGCTTGCATTCTTTTCCACTTTTCCCTGAGAAATCGCGAGCCTCTGTGTGCGCACGTGTGTGTGTGTGCGTGTGCGTATGTTTAATTCGCTAAGAACGTGAACTTTATTTACACGTAAATTCCCGATACAATTTATAGTAATTTTTATTCGGTAGGGATTGTACAATTTCATAGGACAAACAGCTGTCTCTCTCTCTCGGTCTCCTCATTTTGTTTAGAAGGAATTAGAAGAGGGAAATAGATCGGACAGTGTTTCCGCTTAACGGTCGCACAATCGCATGGTTAATTATCGCGTTTGTTTTCGCGCGGAGATTCAAAACAGGTGAGACAATCGGCGAGTCGCGATCGGCGGAGATCTGGAAAATCGCGCTTGCGTCGGAATGGAAACGCCGACGCTAATTACGGCGGCGCGATAAGGCGATATCAGCCGGGGGAGGAAGGAAACGCGATTCTTCTCACGTTCGATAAATCGATTCGGGAGGCCTTGGTGCGCGTCCTGGAACGTTCACCGGCACTTTTAATTCCGCCTCGCGCGGCCGATACACGCGATCGTTATGATACGTAATTTCATTCTCGCATTCGCGATGAACGCGAACGGTTGCGCACTTGTAAACGCGTCCGAAATTTGTACGAAAACACATTCAGTCGCGGTTTCGTCTCACGCGCGACCAAAGAGATCCAGCCGATCGAGAAATTTCGCGGACGAATCGCGGTCGACCGCGAGAGAACGCTCGCGTGGCACAAAAAAATAGGACAATCTTACCGCTCGTCCTCGTTATCGGCATGAGCACTGTGGTCTTTTATCACGCATGACACAACTGAACAAACGAGATATGCTCTTCGCCCGAGAAATTAGGACCGTCTCCGACCTAAGCAAATCTCTTCCGCGCCGTCCGCCAACACGCCAAGGTGATCGTGCGCGAAACGCTCCCAGATATACACAAGGACCGATATTAATTATATTAATTATATTAATTAATCACGCGACCACGAACTGCTTCGCGATGCTTATCGCGTACCTTCTGGGAAAACACGATGACGCTTCGTCCGCTGACTCGTAACAGAAGGTGGAGATACAACATTCGTTTGTAGAATTGAACACGTTATCTTCGACGCACTTTGGAATACAGTCGACGTACAGCAGATCAATGCTGTCCCGTTTCTTGCGCATAACGATATCGAAAATTTCTAGTTAGGAATTTCTTTATCTTAATTTGATTTTTTCAGTTGTTGTACAACATCGCTCAATGAAAAGTGATTCCGGCCGTCGTAGATTTATCTCCGACGTTTCGTGAACATTCAAGTTTACTTCTTCGGAGAGAAGAACAATCTGAAACTCAGGTTGTCTCTCTCCCTGAAAAAGTGGATTGAAATGTTCACGAAACGTTGGAAACAAATTCACGAAGACGCGGCACCAAACTGGAAGATCGAGCATTTTGAGAAATAATATTATTATATAATAATATAATATAATAATTATTATTATTATTAATTATTAATAATTTATTATTATTTTTTTTTTTCGAGAAATCTCCATACCGTTGAAGCCTCAAATATTGTAATTCCGACCAGTGAGTCAGTAATAATTTTGAAACATTCGCAACCTCTCATCGGACGTCGAATATGTCTCGAAATGTGTCTGGAAAGGTGTTCAAGCGTTCTCTGCAAATAAATGTACACTCGTATCGATCGGTATTAGATCATTTGAAAAACGCACTCCGCGAGCACGCTTCGCGAACGTTCTCCAGCATAGTCTCCAAAGTTCGAATGTCGCCGCCGTTAAGACGGCAATGCAAATGAGGATTCAAAGTCTATCTGCAGAAAAACGAAAAGAAGCAGGAGGGAAAAAAGCAAACAGACGGCACGTACGTGTATGTAAACGCCGCGTAAGTTTCGCTCGGCATTAACATGCACGTATTACGTAGAGAATTCTCGATATTCGTCATTGACCTCTGTCCCGACGAATATTGTCTCGGCGTATAGCGTGTGCTTGACGTGTCTCCTCGTATATGCGACAGCTCCTATTGAATCGATGGGTAGATGGAATCGACGTTCCGACGCGACATTTCGACACGCTTCTCTATGATTTTAGCCCGGTTCCGTTCCAGAGAAATGCGTAGGAAGAAATGCAATTAATCAAGCTGAGTGAAAAATCGTTATCGAAATTACCGTGCGCGTGAGGAGGAAGAGTAAAACGAGACTTCGTGATTAAATTTTCGCCTCCTCGGTAAACATACGATGTGCGCAACGTGCTGAGAGCGAGAAAGACAGAAAAAGAGAAAGAAGAGAGAGAGAGAGAGAAATCCGGTGCATCCAGAACTTCTCCGAGGAGGTTTCGGAAAACGAGTGGATAGAAAAGAGAGTAGAAGGGACGGAGTAACCGCGTTAGCCGGCGATACGATGTGAAAGGTGCGGTCGATGCAACTGACCGGAGAGATGTTGACGTTGATCGGCGGTCTGCTCGTCGCCTATTTCGTCTACGTTCTGATCGCAAGGAAAAATGGTAAATATACTTTACCCCGACTCTTAACGCGTTCGCTACCAGCGTCACACATGTGTGACGCGACCTCTCACTTCGAGCTCATCTTCACTCGAGATTTCCAATTCTACCGAACACGTTCGCTACTATGTACGACAGACATAATTCTTCCCTCTGCATAGACAAATATAAGTATTTTTTTTTTTCTATACAAAAAGATATAAATATATACGTAAATACATTAAGTATTTTTAAGTGTCTTACACAATTGCATAGAAACAAATACAATGTGGTCTGTGGCGAGAGTTCCCCGGATAAACCGCGGTAATGAACATGTTAACCTGACTATTACTGCACAGACGAAAAGAATTAGTTCCCACAGCTAAAAGCTATCTCCCACAGCTAAGAGTTAGCTTCAGGTAAAAATTATCTGTCCATATAATACAACTGAAATTTAGTTAATTCAGCTAATTCTTTCTATCCCTGCACCTAGTTTTTAGCTTCCATGGCTAGGTGACTAAATTTCAGTTGTATCATGTGGACAGTTAATTCTTTTTTCCGTGCGTGTACGAAAGAGAAAAAAGTTCCTTCAGATTTAGTATTTCTACTTGTTTGACTAAAACTTGTTTTATAGAAACAACATATACGAAATATTATTTGAGTGAAAATTTTGCTGTCTCATTCAAGGAAACTCGATTATTCAACAGAAAGAACGCTATTATTTGAAATATCTTTCAACCAAATAAAATATTATTCGATTATAATAAATGTGTAAAATGAGACAAATCATTTCTTTAGAAGAAGATTACCTGTCGTTTCACACAAATTTTCTACTTAAAATAAAGATACATATTCGTTGAGAATTCTAGCGATCGAAGTACTTGTTAATCGAAACATTAGTTTCCTTGAAGCATGCCAATGATGAAATTTGTTCGGATGCGATGAAATTTATTATAAATTTGAAGAAATCTTTTCTCGGCGTGTAAATCAATCGGTCCCCACCGCTTGGCAGGTTCGGCCGGATTCGTGTTCTGTCAGGCGAATATCTCCGAGTACTTCTCACTCGTCGTGTGCGCGAGAAAGAAACGGCGTATTCGCGACGCGGAAACGCGTCGTCGTTCTCGCGGCGCGCTTCATCCTCGGCGCGAGATCTCGCCGTTCTTTCTCCGCGCGAAACTGGTCCAGTAACCTCTTCTTGAGATCCCCGAGTGCGATCGACCATTTATAACGTCGCGATCGAAGGAAGACGAAAAAGAGGAAATGCCTGTGCGCAACGGCGTTTTACGACTTCCGTTACGTGGACTTTTATGCGACAAGTTCGCGCGCTATATTAAGGTATCGCGGTGGTGGCGGGGGTATTGAATGAACGTTGAATTTCTCCGGAGTATAGTGCTCCTTGAATTCGCGCATTTATCGCGTTACCGCAATCTGCCGCACGGATCAGATTCGCGTAAAACGGGGACGAGTTTCTCACGTAAAGTACGCTCGTTACCGCGTCGCGCGGATCTTACTCGCCGAATGATTCGCGCGAACGGAGATTGGTATCTCGCCGAGGATAAGTAAACCATATTGTTACAGACTATTGTCTCTTGCCAACGATGATAATTGGCGGACGTTGCGAGCCCGCAAGCCGGGAAAATTCGACACGCGTGAGACTGATGCCAATTTGGAGCGATTCGTTGCGTGTATCAAATTACGTGTATCGGAGATTGAGAACCGCGAATACAGAAGCTGAACAAATATACAACGAAAGAGACAGGGGAACACTGGGGACGCTCGAATCTCCCTTTTGATTTTGCTGAATATTCTGAGAAATGAAAGAAAAATCAATGAATGCCAATATAACTAATATCGGGCCAATGTATATTGCCAATGAATTGTGCTAGGTTACAGGAGACTTGATTCATGGATCAGATGTCCCCAATTTGGCGTGGATCTGCCCAAGTGATATTATTTTTTAATTTTCATTTCATTTTTTATAAACAAATAAATTTTTGTCAACTAACCTCGACTAACTAATTACTTTTAAGACAACTAATTTTTCATCCTATTCCATTAATCGAATTACAAAACCTAACAACTTCAAGAACAATTGTATATTTACGAAAAGAAGACAAGTTAAACACATCTTCACTCTGTTGTTATCGGCTCTCAACTGTCAAGATAACATTTAACGTTTCCTACAGTTAAGAATGAACACTGCTGCTAACATGAAAAAAAATTGAATCTTTCCATTGTCGAAGTAACGGCTGGGATCAAGTCTCCCAAAGTGCCAAGTGTCCCCAGGTTCCCTTGTATAATTTCTCAATAAAAGTATACAATTCCTTTAATTTAGTTTTTGCATTTTAATCAATGCACGCGCGGCTTCGTTCAGTGACCGATCATTTCGGCCAGTGGGGTATCCATTTCTCAGGCGAATACGAAGGGTTAATCGGCGCTCGGCCGACGTCGCTTGACTCTCTCTCTCGTCGAAAACCGAAGGCCTCAACGCGACGACATGATCTCGCCTGACGTCGATCGAGTGCCACCTTCAAAATCAAACGTCCCCGCGTCCGATAGACAGCCCGCGAGAGACTCTATTATCAATTATGCGCGATGATCATTCCCATCTTCGCGTCACGCCACGGACACGCGACCGTATGTAAAAAAAAAAAAGACCGACCGAAGGCCAGTCGGCGGCGTTAACGGATGTCGAGAAGGGCGACTTCGCTCGAAGAGACGCGAAATCTCTTCTACGTGTCCGAGGCGGCGGCTGGATCGCGCGCGCCGAGGAAAATACCTGTAGCCGGCCTTCACCTTCCGCTGCGAGATCAAGGCTGGACGGTCTCGAGAAGGTAGAGATACATCGCGCGACGCGGATCGATTATGTGTACGAGAGAGAGAGAGAGAGAGAGAAAGAGAGAAGTGGCCGTGCGATGCGAGTAGTTCGCGCTTAGCACGCGACGTGTTGATCCGCGCGGATAATATCGCCCGCCCGCGGCAGACTCTCTCATCGATCATCATCCGCACCATCGGCTCGCTCCGCCGAGGATTTCCACGGGGGGATCTGACGGCGGGTAAAAATCGGACGGACGGTGCGCGGATGTGCCGGCGATAAGAAACGCGTACATCGAGTTTCCCGCGGAAAGATTCAGGAGGTCGACAAATTTCACCTGGCGGCCGCGATCCACGACTGGCGAGCTGCGCGCTCGAGGGAGGGAAGGGAGGGAGAGAAAGAGAGAAAGAGAGAGAGAGAGAGAGAACAAAGTTGCGAATCGCCGTCGGCGAGGAGTGGCCGTGTAAGGACGAGCATGCATCGTCGGCAAGGTCGCCGCGGAGAAATTGCGACGGAGGAGCGGAGACCGCGTGTAACGCCGTTATCTCGTTAGATACCGGCGAGATCGCCACTGCATGTGGCGAAGAAAGTGCAGTGTCGTCGATGCCGCGTACTAAACGCTCGCGATCGTTTATGAGCCGGCCGTGAAGGTTTGCACAGGTACGCTCGCCCGTACGGCCACGTTCAAGCCGCCGCGGCGACAGTCGCTCTCGAAGCTTCCCGCGGGAACCGCGATCGATCGTGGATCGATAGTACTCGAGGAACGGCGGAAAATCTCTCTCGAGCGCGGAGTCAAAGACATTCCGAGGGGGAATTCGCGATTTTCGAGTCAATCGAGGATTTCGAACGTGCTCCGGGGAATTTTTCCTTTTTAACAGCGCGCGTATTATTTAGAATGTGTTGCGAGATAAGTACATAGGCGGTGTGCATTTGAGATGGGGACGACGCGTCTCGAGAACGTAGTCGTTATGTACTTGAAACGGAGAAGACGACGTCACTTTGCTCGCAGAGCCTTCGATCGGTTCTAGTCGTCTTCGATTAGACGGCGCACGAAAATGTAAGCAGTGGAATCGGAGACGGTAAGCGAATCGGCTGCGCGCGGAGAATGTTATGTAGCTTTCTTTATGTTAAACAAACTAAATTGAATTAGGCTCTCGAGATACGCAATTAGGGAAAACGTAGTTGGACCAGTAAGTGTCGAACGCGGTTTTTGGTGTGAATATATTTATTACATTTTTATATGAGGATAATTGGCCTGCTTTCAGCTGAAATGGTTGCACTAGTTCAAAAAATGTACGCACACTGAAGCGTGAGAATCTCGTATGTTTCATACGCTTCAATGTGTATGTAAGTTTCTTGAACTAATGCAACTGGTTTAGCTGGGAAACAAATAATAAAATATATTTGACAATTGATCAGTTTATTTGTTTTTTTTAGCTAAATTTTTTTCTATTCTCTTTCTTAAACTAGTAGTAGCCAGTTTACCTAAAAAGAACAGATCAAGTATAAACGCATGCGCTAACTTATTTATCAGACTTCTCAAACATACGTGAATAATTTATCTTCCACGTCAAGCCAACATCATATTCAAATTATTAATATTAATAATAATTAATAATTAATATTAATAAATTATTAATATTAATAACCCTCAAATTCCCACAAACTATATATTAATTCACTAATTAATTAAGCGTTAATTAATTCTCTTGAATATTGCGAGAATGTTTTAACATAATTCTTATCAACTTCATTGTTTTTCAGTAGTGCAAGAATAGAGGTTGTCAATATAGTTCATCTTACTGAAGAATACGATAAATGCTGCTAAGGGACATATGTATAGCATATTTCTTAATAACAGACTTCACAATCGCTATAATCTAAATAATACATATAATACGGAAAGATATATAATAATATATAATAATATAATATAAATCAAGGATAATAAATTAAATTATGCAGAATATCGATATATTTTTTACTCACAAAACTCCAGCAAAATATTGCTAGAATGGTTCTAGCAATAATTCCGGCAAGTAACAATTTTTATGAGAAAACTCTCTCCGTGTACGATCGATTTGTAGGTTTACCGTCCGAGTTTTACCGTTCCGATTCTTGCGTGTTATCTAACGCGCATCCGATAATTGCGAATATAATTTACCGATAGTTCTTTTTATTCGTTGCCGCAGACAAACCATCCACGGATTCACCAGCAATGGCTCACGCAGCGCTCCGAGAGATCGTCGAGCGTGCTGTCGAGGAAGCTCGCAAATTACCGGCATTGAACGCGTCTGAAGATGGCGAACAGTCTCGAGAAGGACGCGCTATTGCGGATCACAGCTATGAGGACCTTCTCGCTACCGCGATACTTAATAAGGTTGTTTGCGTGTGTCTCTCAAATGAACTTTAGGAAAATGAAAGCGTTACTTGTTATTAATTATTATTATTATCGGTACTTTTCCGTTATAACGTAAATTGCGGACTTGATTATAGGACAATTCGCGCGCTTTAATCTATACGAAAAGATGAATCGTATAATCAGACGTAACACGTATGTTTCAGGTTATCGAGAGATTGCAACGAGAACGAGTAGACGGCAACAGCAATGTTCTGCACATCACGGATGCGTCCAAGACGAAATACATTTCCAGTGCGTAGAATTTACTTAACGCGTTATCGCGTATCGAGTACGGTACACGAGACGTACGGGGAAACATGTTCACGAAGACGACGTTTCTTTTTTTAGCCGAGAACGAGCATGGCATTGAAGATGATGCGGAGAGCTACGAGTGCAACGGCGATCGTGGTGCATCGATCAGGCAGAATGGAGATCATCGGGAATCGGTGTCTTTTATGGTATGTAACCGAATTGAGATTTTGATCCTACATCAATTCTCTAAGAGAGAAGGAAAAGGAACTATCTACAGCTTCATCTTTGCTCATTTTTTAAAAATAAAAATATTGGATATTTATATAATAAAATTAGGAAGGAATTTACCAAAATCTGATTTACGATAAATATCAACAAGTGTGTATCTTTTGAAGTGATTCACAGTGTGAAATAAATCTAGTACTTAGAGTTAATCCATGTGGGTGAATCGTTCCTGCGATAACGGAGTACAGATTATCAGATTTATCCTTCGATTTCGAGTGGAAAATATCCACTCGACGATTTTAAATGGAACAATTCATTCTATGTGAGTGAGAAATCATTAGATGTCGAATGACTCGGCTGTCACAGTCTACTCTTCGAGTGGAATTTCACTCGAAGAAATTTAGAGAGCGCTTCATCGAGTCTCTCGTAAGTCCGAAGGAGATAAAATTTCGTTGCAGATGGAAGAGCAAATAGAGGAGGTGACTACGATTACGTCGGACGACGAACCCGCTGACAATGACGCCTTGGAATACGGATGCACTCGGCGCGTGCCGTTTCCGGAATTCGGAATGGACATCGTTGACCGTGAGTGACCGATAATTTTTCTCAACATTTTTGTACATAAAACGGAAATTATATTTTAATTATATTTTTTATAATTATATATATATATATATATATATATGTGTATATACAAAATTATAAAGTTCCTATCATAATAGTATATATAATAGCACATAAAAATTTGCCTTAAATCATAGCGACACCCATGCAAAACGGCACTGCGAGAATTGCCGACCATTTTGTACATAAAACAGATTATATCTTTTACAATTGTAAAATTACAAAGTTTCTACCGTGACAATAACAACACGCACAGTGTAATTCGCTCTAAATCCTGGCGATATCTGTGCGAAACAGCACCTCGAGAACTGTCGTCGTCGTTATCGGACTCCTCGGATTCGGATCACAACGAGAACTCGCGAATCAGGACCAAATATCGTGCCACTGATCACACGACGGACCTAGTCTCGCCGATTGAGTCCTGGGAGGACAACTGGTTGTTCCAGAAGAAAAGGAACGCTCGATCGCAGCCGGACGCGGTCGCTATGTTGGTGCCGAGCTCCAACACGTGCTACAAGGCTCTGATCGGCGACCGAGACGCCGAGGACACGTCCGACCTGTCCGAATGCTCCTCCACCAAATCCGACGAGGAGATCGAGAAGGAACTGATGGAGGCGATCAACAACGTAATCCCGAGGAGCCGCAGAACCTCCGAGTGTGACGCGGAGGACGATCAACAAGTACGAAACGACATCGCGCGACTCGGCGAGGACGAAGTTGACCAAGTCTGCCAGGCAAAAGCGAAAATCGAGGAGATCGTGGCGGAGAAAGTAGTCGAGGACGAGAATGATAAGAAGAGGCCGAGTGAAAGTTCCCCAGCATTGATAACGGGGACGGAAGGGGAGGAAAGTGAGACCAAAGAGAGGCCGCCTATGGATATCGTAGAGCGCAGCGAAAGGACAATTGCAAGCGTTATGGAAAGTCCCATGCAAAAGGACGTAAAAGTGCTATCTGAAAAGTTGAGCGAAAGGAGCGATCGAGGAAACATCGCCGACGAAGACGAAGAGCAACAAGAGAGCGAGTACACCGAACACTACGACACGGCGGTCCAGAGGCACCTGGACAGTTTGACGAAAGTCGATGTTTACAGTGGAGAGAGCGAGGCTGTTGCCGAAACGAGGGAATTCGCGGAGGAGCAGCCGGAAAACATATCGACCGAAGAGGAAAGGAGGTAAGCGAGGAGACGATGTTGTTCCGTGTCTGATTCGATATATTGCGCACGTTTCTCTTAACTTATTTTGCTATCGTGTACCTTCCGAATTATCCCGAGCTACTTTGAGTCCAACTACGTAACGTGTCCATCGTTTCGCCGGCACGTGTACGTCCTTCGTAATTCTTTCTCAATTTTATGCAGCGAACGCTCGGAAGCCACAATTCAATTAACTTATTATGCAACGAAAGAGAGTTACGTTGATACGATCACCGAGAAGGATCTATTAAGCGCTCCACCGCGCCCAGGTAATTCAATATGTATAAGTGCATGTCCCTTTACACTCTTTAAATTAGAAAAGAGGCCGAGAGAGATTTAATTTTGTCTTCTTGACGCGGAATTAAGACGAAGTGATTCGTTGTTAACTTCAGACAGAAATTTCGCGGAAATAATAAATACGAAACACAAATGATTACTGTTAATATAATTTAATTTAAATTATGAAACCAATGTAATTTAATTTGCAACGTTTAAAATGTTAAAATGTAAAACGTACGTACGCGGTGTTTGTTTCGCAAGAAATTTGATCTCTGAGCTATTATGTCATAAGATAGAAAACAGTATTAATTATTTATGTATGCAAATATATTTACACGACATATACGAATAATCGTCGTATATCCGTCAGGCACGATTGCGGAACGCGAGCATAAGAAATGGGAGAACGCACCGCCGATTGAGAACAATCCTTATAGCGAAGAAAACATACGAAAGCGATCCTGGGAGAGGCGATATTCGCGAAAATCCGCGGATCTTACTGGGTAAGAATGCAACAATGAGGAACATTACGAATATACCATTTCGCAAGGGACTAGCCCTTCAGCTCTTAGCCCGATCGCTTTGTTATTTAGAGTTCAGTACGAGATGAAGCTGAACGAAGTGAACTTGGATACTCTCTTGACACCCGATCCACCGGACATCAAACGGTAATTTTGTTGTGTAATTTCCCGAATGTCACAGAAAGGAGGGGGAAGGAAAATAATACAGGCATGGGGATGGTTTAACTATTAAAAATAATTAAAAAAATAAGTTATTAATTTTTTTATCAAACAAAAACAAATTTTAGAAGTAAAAAAAAAAAAATATTTAAATTATAAGTTTTCTCGTTGAAAGCAAACTAGTTAGTCAGCTTCTCAAGAATGATATTCAAAAAATAACATTCAATAACATCCAGTTTAAAGAAAATATAGTCAGGTGTGCTTCTGACGGTTGTCTATTTTCTTGGTTTTGTTTGTAAATAACTCGTTTTGATGGACAAATAAGATAATGGGCAAACGTGGACAATCGATTCCACGACTAATTTGAAGTTAGAAACACAGTCACTGGTACACAGGTATGCTCATAATGGTCTGTTTTCCTGGCAGATAGTCCCGATAAAAACAGTTTAAAAATAAAATTACAGTTCTTCACTTTACAAACACCGTGTAGTCAGAATCTTTATTGCTTCCCATTTTCATCGAATCTTTTGTCTCTAAAGAAGCTGTTTATCGAACATGGTTTCTTGTGGTCAAGTTTTTTTCTTTTGAGAGGATTCAAGTCACATAAGAAAAAGGTGAATTTTTTTTCTTAAAAGTAAGAAAAAGTGAGACGTTGTGAAATAAGTAAGGAAAAATAAAGGAAAAAAATGAATCGTCCCCCCATGCCTAATGTAATATCAAAATATACATTCGACGAGATAAAAATCAATTCGAGTCGGGGCGCAATGTAAAAATTGTCAATCGGTTAGCCGCGAAAGAAACCGAACGAAGCCGTGCTCTCACGAGTCCGTATTGTTGCTCGGTTGGCCGCACAGGTTCGGCAGGGACTACTACATCAACCAGTCGAAGGTGTCCAGCGGGGAGCGATCGGAGCGGGCCAAGTCAGCGATGTCCTCGTCGAGCAGACCGAGCAGCTCGCTGTCCCAGCGGTCGAGCTGCGCCGGCGACGAACAACGCGAACAACAGGTGAGTCACGAGCTCGAGCGATTCGAAGCCGCTTCGCTGCACGGCAGCCTCCCTAGGCGACGCTGCTGCGATCCTCGCGCCAGTTCGCATTTCGCGATCAACCCTCTCCTGCACCTGGAAGTCACGCGGTCGCCCGCGAGCGACGAGGCGAATCCATCAGCTGCGAATTCAACGCCGGTGAGTTCGGAGGGGGAAAAGAACGCCGCGGATCTGCGGAGGCTCTGGATCGATGAACCGCGATACGAAGACGGCGAGGGATCGCCGGGCGACCGCGACTCCGGCATGTGCTCGATCGGCTCGCGTGACTCCGAGCTCGAGAGAGACCGTTGGCGGCAGCTTTACCGACTGGAGAACGGCGATCAGATCGCCTCCGTCGGCGGTAGGAGGTTCTGGACCACCGGTCACCACACCTTCGGCGGGATTAGGACGCGGCCGAAGAAACCGGCGGAGAACCTCGAAGATCTCGAAGACCTCGACGATCTCGATGACGATTCGGCCGAAGATCGACTCGCACAATCGGACCATGTGCCCGAATTCGTCAGGTTCAAGTTCCAGACTTTCGGCGGGATCAGGAGGAGCAGGAAGACACGAGTGAGACCGACGATTCGGCTGAAGGCCGCCGGGAAGAGCCGCAACTCCTCGAGCCGAGTTTGTACGGCCGGCGAGGAACGTCCCTCGAGTTTCGAAGGATTCGCGAGCTTCGAGCACTCGACGAGCTCCGCTTTCGAAGAGAGCGACTGGCAAGACGAGGAGGAGGAGGACGTCGCGGATGACAGAGTTCTAGCGGGAATCGCGCGGGACGGCCGCAGCAACGTCTCCGGAATGAAACGTAGGAACTCGGCTCGCAGGAAGAACGCGAATTTGTCTTTACCGGCCGACGAGGCTATAATGGATAAGTTCCTCAAGGACGTCTCGAAGAGGAGGAAAGCGTTCAGCAACAACGTCGCGACGTCGCGAGGGAGGGTGCCCAGATCCCGAAGACGTCGAGAGGTCTTCGAAGACGATACCGACGAGAACTTGGGGAAATCGATGGCCGGGAACAACGAGAGAAACTCGGATAGCTCGAAGGGCCCTGGACGAGCGCGAGGGCGCAAGGGCGATAATAAAAGGCGATGCGACGACAAGTCGGACGTGAGGAGTTTGAGCGACGTCACGATATGGTGATGATAACTAAGCGTCGCCGCGAACGAGCCAGGGATGTGCACTTGGTTTCAATACGGTTCGATTATTCTTTTGACGTGGTTCTGAGACGCAACTGTTGGAATGAAAAAAAAAAACTTGTTTTTGATTCCCAGAAGTTCTCTCATTGGACCATCGGCTGCGTTCTCAAAAATTGCGAACTCAAAAACAGTATTCTAACTATATTGGAACCGAATATACAAGATGCCGATCGTTGTGGCGTGTCATTGCCGCGAATAGATAATGTTAGATATATGGGGAGTATATATTCCTGGCGGAAGTACGGTTCTAAGGTTATCCCTTTGCGGTGTTATATTTTACACAGAAAAAATAGCCTCAAATCAAGAATAGATATTTTCATATACAAGCAAGAATGTTATAATATTTTTAAAAGATTTTTAGTTTCGACTTGAGTGTAAGTGATACTTGCATCAATACAAATTCAATCAAATCAAGACTAAAAATCTTCTAAGAAGATTATGATATTCCCGCTTATATATGAAAATATCTATTCTTATCTATTCTCAATTAGAAAATTTTTGTGTGAAAATATGCCTCATCAATTTTTTTCTATCGTCCTTTAACGAAGGAATATCAGGGAAATCGAGTCGGCAGACAAAACGCTTGAAGAATATGTTATCGTCAAATCTGTCAGCTTAAGGATGTAGCGAAGTGTTCACGAAGGAAATTGATTAGTGCGAATTCTGTTAAATTATTCGATAAGTTCGTAGGGAATTTTACGAAAAAACTCAAAGCCAATACCTCCATAGTCAGGCATAACTTAATTTATTACGTTTCTTTTGGATGATTTCCCGCCATCGAAAAAAAACGGTTAAAATATTGTTAAATAAAGTTATGCCCAACTATAAAAATCATCGGCCTTGAACTCCCCGTTATTTTATTCTAAATGAATGTTAGAAGAATTCAGAATAGGGAATCTTAATGTTGTTACCTACATATCCCGGCGAAAAATAGCCGGGCGTAGTCGAATTAATGCGGTTATGAGGGTTTGTTAATAATAATTTATTTAATAATTGTTAATACGTGTTGATAAACTTGCACGTATCTTTCGGTGCGACAGCGCGTGTACTTGGGAAATGAGAATACCAGTGCCATGGCGCAATGCGTCAATTTAATATTAGAAATAAGCGCGATAATCATGCGCGCGATTAACAGTTAAGGGATCATATTTATAAAGTTGCAAGTGGCAAATAAATACGGGTATAGAATAATTAAAAACTTTTATCTCGCAATAACGCTGATTCTCCCGCTGATTCTCATCGACTAGACTAGAATTCTACTTCTGAAACTATCTTATATTCGAAAACGGTGTTTTTAGGAACATTTAACGAATGAAAGACAACGATAAACGAAACCTCGTCCTAATAATTAGTGACCGACTTAATATAACATCAGATTACACAAATAATCGATACTTATATTGCAGATAAATGCAAGAAGATTGCACAGGACGCTCAACTTTTCCATGCACTTTCTAATCGCGTCCCGCAATTACGTCCGGTAGTTTAATGAGAATTAAAAGCGTCACCATATCCTAAGACAAAATATCACTTACACAGACACGCCTATACAAACGCTTAAACTTTTCAAATCAGTATTTAGAACTTGGACATTCGATCGATCGAAAAGATAAAAGCTTAAAGTCTAAATCGACGTATGAAAATGAGAAAGGGAGGGAGAGAAATGAGAGGAAAGAACCGAACTTCTCACCATATATTAACACACAATAACCCACACTAATCGTAAACTAATTGCAACTTAATTCTTCGTGATGTTTCTTATAGCAACGTTTACACCGATTTTGCGTGAGTGTTTCTCATTTCTACGTAAAAAGATATTACGAGATGTTCCAATCGTAATCTAAACCTTTTCGACGCATCTCACGCGAAAGATACGCGAGATATGCTAATCGAATCCATGCATACGAGCTGCAAAAGAGAGCACTTTTAGAATCGGTAAGTACCGTAATATTTACCTGCGTGTGTGTAATGTGTGGTGACTAACAATTAAATGTATCGAGACGTGTTTGAAGCGTTTGTAAAGGCTGAAATCTCTTGTAGACTATTATCGTTATATATTTCCTGCGCAAAGGTCTCGCAGTACGAAAGAATTTCCAACAATTCTAACTGTAACAATTCTAACTCATTGCTGTAGTTAATTATAACACATTAATAATATCGAGATTATGCGGTGTAATAAAAGCTTCTTAACCGTATTATGTTCTCAATGGTAATTAATACAGACGCTTCTCTTTAATTTGTTCGGCGTTTGCGCGACGCTTTTCCTAAACCACGTTGGTTCGCGGAGCTTTCACTCGTAAAATACAAATTTACATGTCTGCAGTTTTTTTTTATCGGGTACAAAGCTTGCGGCTACTCACTAACAAAGCCACGACCAATATGTGTTCGTACAAGTACTAATTATTGTCGATCTTTTCGTGAATATAAGCGATATCGTGAAAATAAGTCAAATAAATCAAAAGTATGAAAATTGCACTATTCTTCGTACTAACAAAATTCCTACTAACGTCTAACGGCCTGGGAAAAGTCACAATATCATTGCTATTATTATTGCGTCAGAATGAGATCCATACTACGGAAAATTGTCAATAAATATCAAAATATTAATGACACTTAATATTTTGACAATAATGTCCATCATATAATGGAGAAAAAAAGAGGCGTAAAGGGACAAAAGGAAGAAGAAATAGAAGTGTGACAGTCTTTTGGCGAACAGGACGAAACGAAAAAAATTGAGACAAATAAAGGAAGATAAGAAGAAAAGAAAAAAATTCAGGGCGTTCGACGTTCAATAACGAAATGTGCAGAGCTTCGCGATCGATCACAGCGCGAAATAGTTAACGTCAGCCGGTCCTTGGTGTGTTCCAGGATGAAGTCATGTCCGGGGAGATCGAGGACGTTTCGGTGCCGCGAGAGGAGAAGGACACGAAGGTTACGTCCACGTGGCGGAGGAACAACGCCGAGATGATCAGCTTCGAGACAAACAATCGCGCCGCGAATTCACGCGCTCCCGGCGACGGGACCGGTCAGGAGCGACGGGCGGACGACATCCTGGAGGACGAACAGAGGAAGAACAGCAAGAACGAGATCAACGCGAAGCTGAACAATCAGGAGCACAGCCTCGAGGCGGAGCGGCGAGACGACGAGAAGAAGCGGATAGTCCGAAGGATCGACCTGAAGGCGTACGGCTTCGAGAACGAATTCTCGGTGCAGAGGAATGCGCGACCGCAGCAACAGCGAGTGGTCAACAGGTTGGACTTGAGGTCCTTCGGCTACCAGGACGGTCTGCGACGCACTCACTCCAACAATCAGCTGGACCAGCCGGCGGACAACGAGAAGTCGAACCTGACGAGGTGCGCGATCGGCCGTGAGAAACATCGTGCCGAATACAAAGGATTCCCGATCGACAGAAGGGACCTGACGAAGAGCTCGGGGGAGTTGAACCAGTTGCACGAGGACGTGGAGAAGGTCGGCTCGCTCGTGTCGGCCAAGTCGATGCCGAACGTAGCCGACGACGCGTATTATTACGCGAATCCGGTTCGCGTGAATAACAACGACGATAACATCGACGACGACGATGTTAACCACGACGAGGAGGAAGACGAGATGGCCGCTAGGAACTCGCGGAATCGTGTGAGCGACGAGTTGGACGAACGCAACGCGGCTAACATGGACGATGGCTCGCTCAATGGCTACGACGAAGCCTCGTCCGACTTGGACAGGTCCTTCGAGGATATCTATATCGAGGATAAAAATAGGCTGCACAGAACGGACGAGAAGTTGCCGATGCCGTCCGTGAAGAGGCTCGCAGAAGCCTTCAGCGGCCGACAGACTTCTGTGATTGAGCCGGTGCCCGCGAAAGCGAGCAAAACTTTGGTAATTAACGATACAACCTCCTTCTCTATCTTTCGGGCTTGATCTAGAACAATGCGAGACTTCAAGTAGAAACGCGAATGAAGAAAGTCTCGGACGAACTCGTGTATAGGACTACGGGGGTTGATATCGGGACCGAGAAAGTTACTCTTTAAAACCTTTTAAAGCAACCGTTACTCATTTTGAAAGATAATTGGTTACCGCTGTAAATTACCTAATAAAAAAAAGTAAGCTATAAAAATTTAGTCATTACTGAAAGAAAAAAATAACTGTAATGGCCTTAGACAGAACACAATTATGAAATATTTTAAAAATATATATTGAATGTTTTGTTAATATTCAAATGTCCGGGAAAGAATTAAATAAATATTTTGACATATTTATCATAAGCTTTCTCATATCGGACATTCTCCGACATTTGGATATTTATAAAATATTTAATATCCATTTTTTAAATATTTTACAAATATTATGTGCTGTCTGAGTACAAATAAAGCATTATTTCCCAACTCGGGACGTTGCATCGAATAATTAATTAAGCAACGGATAATTTAACGCACCAGCTTTCTGTGATTTTAGCTGCGGACGTTCGTTCTTTAATTCGAACGTCGTGTCTACACCCGCTAATGATTGCGATATTCGGCGCACTTTTGCTTTGCAGGTAACGAAGTTAGACGACGTCAAGGACAGGTCATTCACGCCCGAGGTGCAGATAGTCGAAACGCCCAAACAGATGCACAGTCTAACGGCCAGATCGCTATCGAGGGAGTTTCGGGAAGGACTGCGTCAAATGCCCAGCAAGATCACCTCGCCACCCGTTAGTCGGTCGTTGATCGAAGAACGGCCGGCGAATCGGTCAGAAGTCGTTCGATCAAAACGCGAGGACAGCGACGTCGCCGTGATTTCGCCCGGCAAGCTCAAGTCGAACATAATATTTTGGGAGCAAATGCAAAAGAGAAATTGAATTGCGTCTAGCCGATAACGTCGACTATTGTATTCGTTCTAACGTTCTATACGAGCCGGGTTGAAAATATAAATTCAAAACGTGACTTTACACTCTCTTCTCGATTCAAATTGCAATTCGAAGTATCGCATTGGGGTTGATTTTGTACATACCGGAAGAGAACGCGATTGTAAATCGAAATGAGATATTCGAACGTGAGTTTACACGATTAACTCATACTCAAATTGGAATTCCCGAGATGGGTGTGTCGGGAGGAAGATAAATTGTAAATATAATTATCGCAGCGTCCATGAGCCAAATGAGACAATTACTGATATGCGTGAAGCGAAAGAGCTTTAAGTCGACGATGCAGAATAACGACGTCAAACGAACGCGATGTCAAGTCAAGATTAAAAGTTACGTTTTTTTGGAGAAGATTCCGAGAGAAGGAAAAGGGAACTCGAGATGTGTCTTATAAATATTCGTATCAACGTAGTATCTAACGCATTTGAGAATTCTTTTGCACACGTAGGAGTTTTCGTACTTCCAAAATACAGCGCGGAAGTAAAACAATCAAACGTGGTTTCGCGCGAAATCCAGTCGCGATTTACATCACTGCGAGTGGCAAAGACGGTAAGGTCTAACGCTGAACGCTAATGGGAAAAAAACTGTCTCCCAGTTGAGCGTCACATATTTACTTGCGATTCAATATCGTGTGCGTGTAAACGCGTACAGATAAGATCGATTCGCGATAACAGCAAAACGGTGTTACGCAAGTGTGATTAAATTCGTGCCAAACGGCGTCGCGATACGTTGATAGCCAAAGAAAGCGTTACAAGTGACACACGTTCCGTGTGTCGAGTCGAGATGAGAGATCGCGTTAACCCTTACTGCTCTGCATTACGTCATCAAAAGTGGCACATAACGAGATATATTGTTTACGAAATTCTTAAAAAATGTGCAAGGATGAGTTTGAAAATTCAAGAGTTCCACAATTATCAAACTTCGAACAACTTTCCCAAAAGTTCGAGAACAATTTCATTAAGAATTTAATTTCTTTAAAATTAACAATGAACGCGGAAAAGATTATCCAACATATAAAAAGAGTCGAAAGGGTTAACGGTTCCCACGCGTTGCCAATAATTAATTATGCGATGGAAATAAACTTTCTGAATGTAGTAATATTCTTTCGGAATGTAGTTTGAAATTTCGCTTATATTTTGTATATTATCGCAAAAAGATACATTAGTGTAATATAATGAAATAAATGAGAATTATAGAAAAATAGTATCCTTCAGCTTGAACCTTGAAATTCGGATCGTCGGGACGGAACGGGAACAAGAGGAAGAGATTTGACGAGTGTTTACGGTGAAAAAATAGTTTTTAATCGATCAAATCAAAATGGCACAGTTCCATGGAAAATCTTGGAAGCGGCTTTGCGCTCTTAATACTTCCCATCATCTCTATAATAAATACAACAACGTACAAGTTTCAAATACAAAAGTAGAACGACAATCGGCCGATCAATCTTCGAACGATCGCGTCCTTTCATTGAATCAACGATGTACGCGTAAAATATGTGTCTTCGGTCGTATGCTCCAGAGACTGAAAATGGAACGTAGTGATACGTTCACGTTCATTTTAAAATCAAATATTTGTCTGCAATAATTTTTAAAAATATTCTTAAAATATACTCATCAATATTTAATATTTATTAAAATATTTTAAGCATTATTACATATTATTTAAAACATTTTAAAAATATTTTCAATAATTTCAATTATTTTCATATTAGGACGCGGTGGGCATCCGTCGGAAAAAGAAGGTTATTCTAACCACCAATGGATCACTCGGAGACTCACAGCGCGCGCGACATGCAGCGCTTTAATAGTATATACATCTTGTTTTGTGAAATGGTATGCATTGTTCATCGATACTCTCAGCGTGCTGTCGCCGATAGTCCCACAAGAATTGGTCGATCAGAACGGCATTGACGTGCTTCGCGGTGTTTTGGGCTTCTGGGCTTTTCAGGGACGTCTTCGGATCCTCGATTATTTTTCGCACCTCGGCGCATAATCTCTCGACCAGCTCGATCGAGCAGCCGCGAATCTCCACTTCTTCTCTGCTCCCGCTCTCCAACGGCTCGTCTGGGGAAACGCAATTCATATTGCCACGGCTCGCTCGGTGAATCCTTCGTTTCGCGAAAGATATAGCTTAAGCGCTTATTAAGATAAGCCTTGAACCCGTTCGTGAAGTGCTACACAATCTATAAACTACCGGCGTAAACAGGTGGGACCTGACGAAGCGAAGAATTTACCGCTGAGTAAAGTGGCATAGCGACAAACATCTTACCGGACTGAAGCTTCTTCATGAGCGAGTCGCTATAGCGAAAAGCCTTGAAGTATAAGAAAACCTGAGGGATGCGATAATCGGCGAACATTGTAATAGAGTTTATATCGTGGAATTCGCCGATTCCACATCCTTGGAAACAAGACCATATGTCGCCTATGAGTATCTGAGCCCTTTTGTAGAGGCTAACTGAAAGAAAACATTGACATATACAACTGAAAAAATAGTGGCAATCGAAACCCAATATTACAAGATTAATTAATTAAATTAACGTTCACCAACTGAGAAAGTTCCACGACGATGCTTTATAAAAATTTTATATCGCAATTTCTTGGAAATTATCGATTTTGTAATTTTTTTAAATTATAAATTTTATAAATTTATAAAATAAAATAGATATCCTTCTCATGTTCACGTGTTTCACTACGCAAGATATAAACAAATTGAAAAGATAACACATTCGTCGTTCACCACGTTAGTTAAAAATAAATACATCTGAAGATACAGTTAAATAATCTCTATTGACAATTTTTCACGCACGAATTTGCAACTGAATTAGATGGATAACGGCATCGAATGACTTCTTGCACGTTATCTAGTGATAACTACCTCTCTGTCCTTCGTAATCGGCTTCGTCTCGATAAGCATTGAATTCGTTGACGATCAGGTCGAGCAACTTTATCGCCGATCCTTTGCACGACTTGATACATGTTTGAAACGTACCTACGACATAACAAAATCGTATCATGCCCGTCTCGACTCGCCCGCTGAGGAAATCGCTGAAGAATTCTATGCGAGTTATATCGAATAAACGAAGAAAAACGATGCGGGAATGCAATACGAGTACTTGGCAGAAATATTCATTTCGCTTTATGATCATCGTAATTATTTGTACCTTGATATTTGCTCAACAAAACATTTCCAGCTTCGTGCAAAACTTGAAGCCTTTCTTGCATAAGTGGTATTTTCACCTCATTGTCACCTCGGAAAATGGTTTCGGCATCGCTCAGTGTTATTTTCGAGTAATACGCAGGATCCAATATAGGCTTTCCTTCCTGTATTTCAAAAAAAAAGCGTTATTCTTCGTTAGAAAAATAAATCCAACAGATACACGGACCATTCGGGGAAAGAGAATGCTGGAACGTAATAACGCGAGGATTTAAAACAACAACACGTAACGACGAATTGCTGAATGTTCGAATTTGCAACTTTCAGTCGATAATACCTCGGTGAGGTGCGTAAAGTGCGATTACTCAATTGCTACGTCGGGAAAGTTTTTGCATTTCGGGAGACGTCTCGGTACTTGGATTTCGGGATCGTGACTTCTCAGGAAACTGTCCCACTCTTCGAATCTCGGTTCTTTGTCGAATTTCTTTCTTTTCCTGGGCAACGAAAGTGGAATTCTCCATCTATAAATTGCGGGTCCGCGCGTATTCAAACAACTGAACGAAGATACACGCATGACATGACAGAATTCGCACGCTTGTGCGACGTTCCGATGTATAGTTCGTACGCCATTGTAAATTTAAAACATCTCAGTGATACCGTACGAAGAGACGAGAAGGCCACCACGATCTAAATTTACACCGTGAATAATCCTCAATGCATATATACTAACGCGCGTCATGATTAGCGTTCGAAGAATTACGTGAGTAATGAGTTTCGTGTAAAATTGCGGATTAACCTATTCTATCGGACACTAATTAGCTTCTGAACCTGATTTACACGTATACTGGAATGTTAACCTTTAAATGCATAGTGTTGCAAATTTGCAACATATTTATTTTTCTTCTTTGTCGAGATCAAAGGTACACCTAAACGTGGAAGACCAAATTCTTCCTTAAAACGAAATATACAATCCAAAAGGCTCAAAGGCAATGCTCAACATATGCCTCAGATTTTTTTAAATATTTTTCTCATTTTCTGGGACTACTAATGAACCTAAAAAAAATGCATGCATTTAAGGGTTAATTTATCCCTCTAATTTCATAATTATATAACTTGTATAGATAATTCGCGTGCCGTTAGATAAGACACGTCAATTATTATATGTTGCTAAATTGAAAGTATTCCCTCATTCGGCCCGTATCTTTCTCTTTCGTCTCGCACATAAAATCACAAAATTGAGGAGAAATAGGGGAAGAGGTACAGGGATTGGCAGGGATACAATGATTAACATATCAGCACATTTAAACGCCAAGCACTAACTGCTATCATCGGATGTGCAGCTGATGATGACAAGGGAGAAAGCGGTCTATTGAAGACAACTGGTTAAGTTGCACTATTGATTAACTCATCAGGTTGCAATCAGAGACCGTCGATACACTGATATGTGTGGGCAGTGCATTACTTAGTAAACAATTTAATAGCGCAACTTAAATATTAAGTTTCGGTTATTAATTAGTTCTACATTGCGACATATTTCTTTATTTAATATATTTCTAATGAATGCTAATTGCTGTGATAAGTATGCCAATCATTATGACGAGTCCCAATTATTGTTATTTTTGTTAATTCAATTCGATATTTTATTTTAAGCAAGATATATTTTATTATTCCAATATAACTATGTATTTTTGTAGCATAGAATCTTATCTAATTTTTACAAAAAGAACGAACTCTGCAAGTATCAGATTTGTATCAAGAGACAGCTTTAAATAGAAATATATCCTAAATATCCTGCCAAAATATCATTGTACCTCTTCCCCCAAATGAAAGTATCGCGAGTCAAATTTCGAAACAGGAGCATAGAAGTATTGGCTGAAGGAGTTGCCAAACCAAAGGGAGCCGTGCCTAAATTCGGTCTGCCGAAGTGGAAAACGATGTCTCTGCAGCACAAGATACCTGTGATACCCAACGTGCCGAAGGACTCTTACAATTTTACGCGATGCAAATTGGGAAAGAAATTATGGGCAGTCAGGCCGAAGGCCGAGTTTGATCTGAGCGACCCTTACTGCTACCAGACCAACTTCGCTTATGAACCCTTACACGACAAGCACCTATTCGGATTCTTCTCCAAGCCGGCTAATATTAAGTATCTACTGGAAGCCGACTGTATCACGGAAGATATGTACGTGAAATGTACGCTGCGCGACTACAACGCGTACAGAGAATATTTGAGGAAGATACACGTCAGTAGTGTCGGAAAGGAACTGAGGCGAAGGAACCGGCTGTTTGTCGAACAGAGAACCCTTTGTCGCACAGACGACCAGGCGCGAAAGGAGGCGAAGAGGTGTAATTCGAAATTATATCTTTTTTATTCTCACCAAAGAATAATTTTAATATTTATTATTTTTTAATATATTCCAACTTTTAACATTTTTTAAGATATTCTAACGTCATATAACAAAAAATTAAAATGCAATCTGTATGTGATCCATATAAATAAAATATAAAAATATATAATATAATGTGGCAGCTCTGCGGACACCCGTTACAAGAGGCGAGTGCCTCCAAGGATGTACAGGTAATTACGATGATTTCATCTCCTGCTCTCGTGGAAAAATTTGAATATTTTTCGTTTCGATATTATCGGGATATTTATTGCTTATTTTTACGATTATATATATTTTATAGAAATATCCCAAATATATTCGAAGCGAAAAATTTCCCCACGAGAAGAAATCATCGTAATTACATTGTTTCCATTGAATTAGTTCCTGATAATTTAATACATGATATAATTACAGACTGAAGAAAGAAAAGTTGACCGATGTTGGGGAGCTTTTCGCACAGCAACGAAAATTAAAATTGAAGATGCGAAGGGAAAGAGAGCGCAAGGTGGCGCAGAGATTAAAAGTATTGCAGCTCATCAGGCAAGAGAAGTGGAGGCTGATTAATATCAAACGCGAGGAGCAATATGAGAAAATTCAGCAAAAGTGCAATTTCGTACGAAGCAAAATGATCAAGGTTTCGATGGAGCGAAAAAAAAAGGAGAAAGTGCGAGCCAGAGCCAGGGGAAAGCGATTTGTAGATATCGAACGACAAAAACAGCAAGACGCGGAGGAAAGGTGCGTATTGGTTAAGTAGAATAGTGAATAAATTCATCGATATCTTAGCGATATTTAAGGAAGATTATAAGATTCAGTAAGGGAAATTTTACACACAATGCATTTCAGGTGGAAGAGAAAACATGACTTTCAAGAGGGAGACATTGCGGAGCAGAAAATGTTGTTGCAGTGCTTAAATACCCGTCGTCAATTATTTATAACGGATTATAATAACAAGATAAACGAGGAAAGAGCGAGAATGGAAAGTAAGTAATAAAAGGTCGAACGACTACAGGTGTATTAAGCACTCTGTAAGATTGCTTCCTAAAATATCTACAAATATATCAGCGATATTTCGTTGTTAATATATCGTACGTTAAATATATATCGTCCAATGATGATGTTGAATTATCGGTTGTAAAGATCTCTATTGCGTAATAAAAGAGATAAAATCTCTTATAGCTACGTTTGATCGGTTATAATGTAATCTGGTGTGTTTACAGGACTCTTGGAGGATAAGAAGTTATTTACAAATTGTTACATAAGAAGGTACTTACCTGATGGGAGGCGACGTGTTTGCTGCAGGAAATATCTTCAGACCGATATGGTAAAACACGCGATCAAGCAATTTGATTACCTGAGAAATGCACTTTAAGCGAAATTTCCTTCTAATATCACATCGCAGGACGGAAAAGGGGATAAAAGGAAGAAAGAATCGCCGAGCTCGACGTATCAATCGCACGAGTTAGTGAAGTTAAAAGAAGCCAAGGTGTAAAGTTAACGATTGGAATTTTCGTGCTTTTCAAGCGTTACCAAGTTTATGCTTCTCTTTCATTTACTTCTCAGCAACTGCAAATTTCAATGAAAATTGACATTTTGTGCAATAGCCGGCTGTAAACATTAAACTTGGTCAAGATTCAAGACGGAAGGGTAAACCGAGACATACGGAACCAGGAAAGAAACACATTGCAAGAAGAAACGGTTACAATAGGATGAAAAAACATGGAAAGATTAGACAGTTAATGGTTCAGAAATCATTAACGGAGAGCAAAGTCAAAAAACCACCACCATCTGTGACTCGGCCAAAAGTCGAAATGACGGGGGTAGAAACTTTCAGCAAGCAGTCAACAGTGGAAGACACACGTCAGTGTCACTGCCACCTCGCCAACGAATAGTGTCAGTACTAATATAAATAGTATCAGTGCTACTTATATTATGTTCAATCACGTTAACCATACTTAAAGGTGATTGATTGACATTCATGTGATGCTTACAAGTATCGCTCCCACGTGAAGCAGGCTAAAATGTAATACCAGACAAGCGTTGCATCATAGACCTATAGATGTGAACTGGCAATTGTCTATACACAAAAAAGGAATACTCTTAGATAGTCTTAATAGATAACCTTAAATCGACGATAGATATTTTCATATATAAGCAAGAATATTATAATATTCTTAAAAGATTTTTTAGTCTTGAATTGAATGTAAGTAATACTTGCAATACAAATTCCATTCGAATCAAGACTGAAAATCTTTTAAAAGTATTATAATATCCTTGCTTATATATAAGAATATTTAGCATTGACTTAAGATTAATTTTTTCCGTGTAGTTTCTGTATTAGAAGTGGCATTCGGAGGAGGTTAGAGAAACATACTTTTCCGAATACTTTAAGAAAGTAAAGTACTGGAAAAGAAAGGAAAGTATGTTACTCTCTTTAAAACCTTCAGACAAGGTCTGCTATGTATCGCCAGTCCATATCAATAAGATCTATGCGCTGCACTTACCTCGATGGCTCTCTTGACAGCAGCGCACAGAGCGAAGTAGCCAGTACATCCGTTTACAGTCCATTTCTTAGCGCCGGTCGCAGTCCAGAATGAAAAATTCAACGTGTCCAAGACGAATATCCAGTCCACCGCCAAGGGTTCATCGTGTTTAGGATGAAACGCGCATTGCAAGAAATTGTTTAGGCTGAAACTGTCATTTGCTATCGCTTCGACGACCTGCACAGACCAAACGAAACCTTGTATAGTTACGTTCCCATCATGACCGACCAATTTTCATCGTACACTTAAGAATCACTCGACACGTGGTACGAAATAAAATTCGACAAACATATGCTCGATTCCACTGCGCCTTGCAACTTTAGCCGCGTTCAGCGGAACGCTTATTTTACAACTATTGGAAGTTTCCCGTAAAGATTCTGGTTCTAAAAGAATAATCGGATCTCAGCTCGGAAAACCTCCAACGGTTGCAAAATAAATGTTCCGCTGAACGTGACTTCCGTCTCGCAAAACGACATCGCCGTGTTGCCATGTTTACTTCGAATCGCGCGTTTTCCCGCGCAACAACGGGAAACAACCGATCGCCTGATCGTGTGACCTCTGCACCGATTTTTAACAATAGAAGTGAAACAAAGTAGGTCATAAGCAATTCAACGTCAAATGACGCAGGGGTGGGGCTTCCAATTAGCCGGTTATAACGGGAACGAGAATCGCGCGCTCTTTCAACATAACCTAATTTCCGCCAAGGGTCTCAAGACTCGTTCGAGGTATACCTCGAATCGTGCCGCTTTAAACTCCCAGAGAACGCAATGACTTACCTGAAGCGCCAGTCGCTTCACATTTTCGTTCTCGATGAACACGTCCCGCGCCGACGAGGCGATGAACTTGCCGGATTCTCTCGGACTTAGCACCATGATGAGAGCAATGAATGTATTATGCGCATGAACGCTTCGCAGAACACGGCTGAAGTTCGCCGATATTTTCGAATCGCGCCAATCGATTGCGAACGTTGGCGATTCGCGATTCTCGGTGCGAGTATTATCACCTCAGTATGATATATAAATATGAGATAAGATTGTCGTTTTTATGAAAAGTATCTTCCTCAAATAATCAGAAGTCCATTTTGCGCAGTATTTATGAATTGTCGTCGGCAACTTGCAGGTGAAAATAAAACAGAATCTATTAAATGATGACGGATATTTTTTTATCAATGTTATATATCAATAATTAATGTTATATGTTATATTTTTAGTTTTAAGTCACATATGAACTGTATTGACGAATTTAATTTTAATTTGACTTAAACACACGTAAGCGAAACATATCGCAAATCTTGTCGGCATTCATGAAATTTTAAAATTAAGTTTGTAAATACAGTCCACGTCTAATTTGAAACTAAAAATATAATCACTTTATAATGATTCGAAAGTTACACCGGTCACCGGTTTTTTCTTGACAGATTGTAAATTTGGACACATAATCAACTTTTGATTACGAAATAGGTTGCAAAAAATATATTTACAGTATTCTCATCATTGGTATTTTTTAATAAGCAGCGAAGTAACAACATAAATGTTATAACAGCCTCAATTTTCAAGTAGATATTATCGAAGAATTTAAATAGTGTTTTTTTAGTTCAAATTTATATAAAGAGGAAAATTTGTTCAGTCACTCAAAAAAAAGAATAGTTAAACCGTACTTCGCAATCAACCCAGCAGCGATATATTTAATCTTACTAAAGCTTCTGGATGCTGCAAACGTCAATGTTTGATAGCATCAGAAGTGAGAAAATGTATGCTAAAAATACTTGCGTTATACGTTCAACTAAAAAAAAATGTATTCACAAAATATTTGTAATCGATTCAGCTTACTTGTAAAATTGTCTGAACACTTTTACTCGAATAATCTATAAATAGTTAAAGAAATAACATTGACATGGAACTTTTTTTCTTAACAAAGTTTTAAGTTGAAAGACTTATCTATTCTCATAATTTTGTTATTTAATTTTACAATTTTTGATTTGAGTGTTCGAACAATTTTATATTGAACCGATCACAAATATTATTTTGTGAGTTGTTTGAACGTATAATCCAAGAATTTTTAATATGCGTTTTCTCACTTCTGACATCATTAAACAAAAACGTTTGCAACAAGGGATCAGGAGGCTTAAAAAATATGCGAACTTACTTTCTGGAGTATTAGGTTCATTTTATTACAAATATTTCGTACAACCGACGGGGCTAACAACAGCGTTGTGAATAAGTTGTAGAAATAATGCTTCAATTTTCGAGAACCTGTTATCCGCGACGAAGTTACTTTTGATCCAGAATAGGATCTATCGTCTGCCCACCGCAGATTTGCCCCCATCCGATCAGGCGCCAATGCTTGTCCACGCGTCTCGACAATGCGATCTTCTCGTTGATTTCCGTGCATACCGGACTGGTCAAGCTAATTTTTGCTAAATCGGCACGAGTAGCCAGTACTCTACCACCAGTGCTCAATGATCCGATATTCACTAATAATACTTCTCCCTTCGACAATTTCGGCACCTGCAATTGTGATGTATTTATATAAATGCAATCATATGTATTTTTTGATAAAATTTTTATAAACAAAGAATAATTTATATGAGAAATATAAGAAATTGTTCCTCGTTACACTAAACACACATTTTTCCTCTATTTTTAGAAAATGACAGAATAACATGCGAATATCATATAATCGGCGCGATTTTAGAATTTCAATTTTAAAAGATCTTTTTTGTTCGTACACGGTTCTATTTAGGAAACACCGATTAGTTGGAAAAATTTACAGTAGGAACTTCGAATTATGTAAAAATTATGAAGGAATTCAGTTCATCACAATAGACTCACTCTTGCGCCTTTTTTATCACCCTCAGTTCTCACGCCCAACAAACGCTTGAGCAGATAATACGAGATCTCAAGTTCGATGAATATCTCTGGTAATGTGCCGACACTTCCGAGAATTTGACCGACTAGACGGTCAGCACGGCACAGGGTGGGTTCAATCTTTGTCCCGACACCTTAACATCGCATCAAGAACAGTTAATTCGACGATCAAGTCGAATAATTACTTAACGACCGACTGATTAACAAACGATCGCGTTATGACTGTACCTATTAAGCCACCTGGCACGGCAAATTGCAGCTCGTTTTGTTCGGCGAACAAAGACACGATGCGTGAAAATATCGGACGACAGGTCAATTTTCCCTCACTGTCCTTGGACACCAATCCTGGGCGAACCTCGATCTCCATGCCGACCTATCGCGTTCGAAATAACATTTTACATTAAGACACGACAGATAAAAAGGAAGGAAGTAGTATCGCGTATCCTTTAGCCGAGAGCGAAATTCTTAACCTTCAATACTCCTCGCAGAATGCTGCCACCGGCGACGCCACCTTTCAAGTCGTCCACCTCGCAGCCCGGTTTATTCACGTCGAAGGAACGGATAACGATCAATCGCGGCTCCGACGTGAAATCTCTCATTGGAATAGGAATCTTCTCCTTGTCACCGAGTAACCGGCACAGCACGTCGGCATTCGGCTTCAGCTGGGCTGAAATCGGAACTATCGGCGCGCCTTCCGCTACAGTACCTAAATTCCAAATTTGCGAGTATTATAATATTATATTAATATATTATTATATCGTATTATATCACTATATATATATATATAAATTTTAATCCAAGTCCGAGACTGGACATTTCATTATGATATAAAATGCAATATTGACAATGACAATCGCTGTTTTGAAACGTGTCGCACATATCGGACGCACCTTGGATAAACTTTAAAATCTGTTCATGCTGTTCTCTCGCTTGCGGTTCTTTCACCAGGTCGATCTTGTTTTGCAAAATAATTATATGCTTCAGCTTCATAATTTCAATGGCTGCCAAGTGCTCCGATGTTTGCGGTTGCGGGCATGACTCGTTCGCGGCTGCAATTCCGAAACAGAACAACTAATTATCCGGAAGAGGAAAGGAAAGAAAAAATTATTGGGGATAATGGGATCGAAACGAAAGGTCGCCATAAGAAATGTCATAAATCGACTTACCGATTAAAAGCAAGGCTGCGTCCATAACGGCCGCTCCGTTCAGCATAGTAGCCATGAGAATGTCGTGTCCAGGACAATCGACAAAGGACACATGACGGACTAATTGGTATCTCCCCGTGCAAGCCGGGCGTAAACAAGGGAACGAGTCGTCCTTACTAGATCCGGCGGACGTGTAGCATCCTGGCGGTGGACATTTTTCATTGTCGCACTTATAAATCTTTGCGTTCGCGTATCCTGCAATAAGGAGCATAATTACGTCAGACTTCAACCGGAGAAGATCGCATTCGCTCGAAGCTGCGTGCATCAAGCGGCACGCTGTGTCTGTCAGTCTTTGAAATAAATTCAACGTCGTTTTAATATACGTCCGTAGAGACCTTTAATGCTCAGTTTCACAAAAGGCACAGATGCATAGAAAAATCTTCGAATGACAAACTTCAAAGTTTCACGTCGATCACGACTTTTCTCGCCGATCGCTCATTTAGATCAGTCAAAGAACTTCGTGCTTAATCGTTATCGACAATTCCAGCTTTGATTACTTACGTTATTACACAGTATAAATATAACCAACGTACTCGGAGCAAATCATTAACGATTACAAATAGATAAACGGTATAATACAAGGCTGAAAAATAACGCGTCATCTGTAACGTCGTTACGGTCACAAGTTACTCTTTCCGGTGACTACTTGGTAACAACTGTGATCTGTTTCATTAGTACACGGTAACAGTAGCACAATTACATTTTTTGGGTAACGGTGACGAATATCACCGTTACTTTTATTACTTTACACACGTGCAGCAGAACATATGTAAAAATAAAAGATAGTAAAAAAAGGGTTCTTCAAAACTTGATGGAAAAAAAGTAACGAAAATTGTAACGACCCATTACTTCTTGAGTAACGATAACGAGTTATCTTTCAAAATGAATAACGGCAACATTAACGAGTTGTTTCTTTCAAAATGCTTAACAAGTAATGTTGATAAGTTATTTTCTAAAAGTAACTTTCCCAATCTTGATATTATACATTGTCACAACATGCTCGTAAATTATAATAAATTTTCTATGATAATGTTAAATGTGACTACAGTAGCGAAGCACGGACATGATGCAATAATTTGCAGTAATTTTATAATTTCAGGTGCATCGTTAGCAAGACGTCTATAAATCTCACACGAACTTTGTTATCGTGCATAAGTAGCGTTTTCCATTACTTACGGACAACGGTGTAACAAAATTGCAGTTGTAAGTATAGTGAATCTCGATGAGTCTTAACGAAATATAGCAATAATGTCACGCGAAGGTGATAACAAAAATATACGGCTTGAAATAATAACTTATCTTCAGCTGTGCGGGGATCAAGGGACAACACACACACATGCACACACATACACACATATGTGTATACATAGATATATGTATACATAGATATATATATATACATATATATTATATAACATACATATTATATGTATATACAAGCTCGCGTCAATCTTTTACATTCCGACATGGTCGGGCAAAGATACAATCGTTCTAACGTGACAAAACGAGTTGCATGTGACGCATCATATTTATAACTATTTAATACTGTGATAATAACTAATAAGAGTACCTGATACTGTTACTCGACCTATCTTAATCCTCTTGAACATACTAGTACATTTTTTTTTTCAAGTAAATTTCTTTTCTTATAAACACAATCGGCAATACACAATATAAGAAAATATATTAAGGAAAAGAAAAAAAAAGAAAATATATTAAGGAAAAGAAAAAAAAAAAATTAAACGACGATCGACGTCTTGGCAGTTTTAATTCGGCAGTTCGGATAGACGACCCGGCATCTCTATAGCGAAGATTAATCTAGTCAACATTTTAATTATACACATGTATATCGTTGATATATATTTCAGTTGATGATGCTTCTTTCTTTATATTGTCTTAATGAAAATTTTATCGAACCTTGTTTCTCGCACATAAATATATGTGTCGTTGATATTTCATATTTGGCAACATTTTTTTTTTCATACTGTTTTCCTTTTTTTTCTTTTTTTTGGCATATCAGATGCGATCCAATTACAGAGGACCTACTGCCATCGTCATGCTGATTTAAAAGATTCTTATCAAGATTATCCTCTCATAATTATTTGGTATTTTATACAGTCCTTACACGTCACATAAGAATAATTGAACGTGTTTCATAGGATGAAAATATAATATTTTACAGTCGGTTTCTCAGCGTTTCAAAAATAGGATACTCTCCGCTTGGTGTTTATAATCGTGTTTAACCAGACGAATTTCTATACATACATCACACCATCTATCATATCGTAGAAATACCGTCGCATAACGCGTATGTCGAAATGCGATATCAACGATTCCCTTTTCGCTTTATAAATACCGCAGTAAAAATCCCACGACCGTTCCACCGTTTCCACCGACATCCGCCAAGTTTGGCTCCAGTTCCGACGAACAAAACGTGAAATAAATACATATTATACTACTGTAACGCGTTATTGTAACGTACAAAATTATAACGTACTAAGTGATAGGTTATTAAATTTAAAGTATCTAAATATCTAAGTATCGCTTAACATCGAAATATCGTGTGTATGTGATTTCATAACTTATCAGTTGAGATACATATTGGGTATCATTAAAAGATGGTTCAAAATTATTTGGGCTTGTAATACTCACACGTTAAAAATTGAATAGAAAATACTTAGAGTCAATTCTTTGAAACAGCGATTTCTTACGGATGAAAACGTATGAAAACGGAATTATCACAAAGATTATAAGGTATTATTTTATTATTTATTATATTATATCGTCCTTCTGTTTAAATATACATTTGATATTTTCGCATTCATTGCGCGTTTTATACATCAAAGATCCCCGTTTTATTTGGAATCGTTCAACAGACATTCTCTGGCTGTTTCGGCAATTCTGTCACAGTTTAGTGGAGATGAAGAATAAAATTTAAACATTTTTAACATATCCATGAGGAAAAGTTTGGGCCTAATTTTCCTCGATTTTCTGATCTTGAACTTTTTTCTGTATGAATATTTGAAAACTTTGGTACATCTCCGGGAAGTTTCACAGAGACTGTGGACAATAACAATTTAGTTCTGAAAAGATTAAAATAATAAAATAACAAGTTAATTCCGCGTAATCTGTGATAATGCAGATTAGTCTGCGGATCTATATTGACTGAGCATATTTTTCTTATTCAGTTTAGTAAATATTACAAGTTCGCAAAGTTTTGAACCATTCTTTGATAACACTTTGTGTATGAATTGAATATACATACAGGATGATTTCAATTGACATCCTCTATCGACATCTTATTATCACTAAGGCGACAATTACTGTACTTGTGCATACAGTAGTGCTTTCTTTTTCTCCACCTTTAGAGTTAAATTATATAAATTTCCGTGATAAGTGTCAAGTGGCACGATAAAATCTAAAGAATTCCGGATGTTCGATTAAATGAAAAGATGGCTATCGCCCGTTCTTTCCTTGTTTGATCAAACATGTTATAAAAACTGGTACTGTTACGATATTTCAATAATCCAGAAAGCTTTCCCCGGGACTTTTGATCGTTAGAAAATGTTATCAACTTGACGAGATCATGTAGCTCGTCCATAAGGAGCGTCAAAGTACAGCTCGTGTTTCGTGCAGAAGTCGGTATGTCAAACAAGTGTTATCGTGTCTAACAGATAGTCTACATATGAGCGCACGCGCACGCACGCACGCACACACACAAAATATGGTCCAATATGCATTCTGTTATGTTAGTAAAAAAGTAAATTCAACATTACGCTAATGTGCTAGCGTATCCAAATTTGTACAATTAACTATACATATATAAACATAAACAGAATCTATTAAAAATGAATACACAACTAACAATATGTTTTGGCGCATTTTATAGTAACATTCGATACGTCTGAAATTTCGCATCAACGATTACGTTACTACTCACAGTTTTCCTCTCGTAAACGAGTCGTGATTTCCTCCATAACACGGCCCAAGTCTTCAAAACAATCATCACGAAGAAATGGACGACTGGCGCCCTTAAAATCTCACTCATTCAATCCACGACTCAACCAAGGTAAGATTCTTTTCATCTAGTTTTGATTGTCTTTGTATTTTGTAGTATCAGAGCGATTACTCCAACCCGTCGATAAGGAGTAGAATTACGAATGAAGAAGTGTACGATTGCGATTATGCGCCGAAATGACGGAACGACGAAACGCAACAGCGACATTTTAGCAAGCTCTTAATCTACGAATGTCTTCGTTACTCGCGCCACTTCCCCCGAGCAATCGTTTCCAGATTGACCGACCTTGACTGTTAAACAAGGACGATCGAAGAAACCATCAGCCGAGTCAATCGTGGCGGTACATTTCTCTTCTTAGATCACCTGGCTCGAAAATATGCATGTAGAAGGGAGGGACGCTGATCAATACGTGTGACCCCTTGGAAAAAGAAAAATAAGAGAAAAGGAGGGAAAATAGAAGAAAAAGAGAAGAAGGAACGCTCGTTCAAAAGAGATACTGCCGGCAGGTGGCAGCGCCACACTTGCAAAGAGTCTTGTTCTTCGCGCCACTGGCGTCCAGATTGCCGCACGGCTGCTGCTGCATCTTCTCGTTGCCACGTGACGTCTGGCACGTGTAGTCGAAAGTCAGCTCCTCGTTCTGCTTGATGTCCTTGATGGCGAAAAGCGCGAGATTCGGCAGGTTCGGGTCGAGGCAGTTGATCCAGATGGCGTAGACCGCGAGATTCGGGTCGCACGAGTGATTGATAAAGTGCGAGACGTTGCCGTACATGGCGGCGTCCACCGTATACGGGCACTGGCCGTCGATCTCGTTGTAATCGAGGTCGAAGAGGTACGTCCGGCCGGACGCGTCGTACTGCTTGCCCCGCTTCTCCGCCTCTTCGCTGCTGATCACCTCGCCGACGTAGTGGACGACGAAGGTACCTTTCTTGATCGCTCGCAGAGTCTTGACGCCCCAGCCGCGACCGTTGTCCGTGCGGAAGATGCACAGCCGAGTGTTGGTGCCGCGCTGCACCACGCGGTTCGGACAGCTGTCGTCGCAGATGCAGCGCTTGTTGCACTCGTAGATAGGAGTACCCGGCTTCACGCGAACCCGGCCGGCCGACGTGTACGGCAAGTACTGGCCGTTCTGAGCGAAGCAGCAGCTGGACTTGGCCTCGCAGACGCCGCATTCGCAGCCGATCGGCGGGTCGTCCGGTATTATGACGCCCGTACCCGGCAGGTAGTTGTCGATGTAGTAGAAGTCCTGCGGCGCGCCCTCCAGGTCCACCAGGTTCTCCACTCGTATCGTCGGCTTGCTCTTCGCGATACAATTCATCTCATTCTCCCACTCCTGCAGTGACTCCAGCTGGTCGCGTCGCAGTTCGCGCAGCAGCATGTGCAGGAGCTGCCTCTTGATCTTCGTCGCGTCCCGCTGGCGCGCGTTCTTCAGGTACAAGCGGATGTGTTCGTACATGCTGTCGTTCTCGTTCATGCCGTCGAGATCTTTGATCGTGACACCTTTGCAGCGCAGCTCGGCCAAGAGGCACTCGGCGTCGCCGACGCCCGGATAGAAACCCTCCTGCGCCTTGAACTGGTCGATCATCTTCTGCCGGTTCTCCTCAAACTCGCACAGCATGTCCTCGCAGTTGATGAGGTTGCGCCGCGGCTCCCACGTGTTGTACTTGGACTCCCAGCCCTTCCACTTGATCCGGTAGAACGGCTCCTTATCGCCGTGCTGTTGGTGCTTCTGCAGGATCTTCTCCACTTCCCAGAGGCCCGGCTTCTTCTTCGGCGCAGAGCTGAACTTGGCCGATGATCGCTTCGACGTCAGCTCGTCGCGATACTCCTTGCTGTACTTGATGTCGTACAGCAACACCCGCACTTCCTTCAACATCAATTCGGGTATGTAGGCGTCCTCGCGCGCGAACGACGAGCGGCCGTCGGACGACGACTCCCCGTCGGACTGCCTGCCGTCGCTGCCGGCGTCCATCGAGCTACTCAGACTCCTTTTGCCGCTGTCGCGTCTGCGAGTGCCATACATCACCTCGAACGTCCGCTGCGCTCGCGCCCGCAGCCGCTTCGCCGACCATATTGACAACGATGAGGACGACGAAAATGTTGACGAGGAAGATGATAATAACGACGATGACGAGGCCGATGATGAGGACGTTGAGGACGATGACGACAATAATGACGATGATGACGACGGCAACGACGACAACCACGACGACGTCGGTGAGGACGTCGGTAACGACGAGGTTGAGATTGATGATGAAGAGGAGGAGGAGGAGGAGGAGGACGAGGAGCGGAGGAATCTATCTCTGCCGTCCAGTCGTCGGGACGCGTTGCGACTCTCATCGAGCTTGGGCTGCTTGACGAACGGTGGCAATCTATCAATGCCTCCAGGGGAGAAGTGTCGTTTTCGGTATATGGCGGGCATTGCTCTTTTGCCGCCGGATATATCTGCCTTTTCGCCGCTGGTACCGTCTGCCGAGTCTGCAATGCCAAACATTTAAAGTGCGTCATTTCCCTGTCGACATTTGTCCCGCTTTGTGTTTCATTTTTTTTCTATCTTTGCTTTTCTTTTTCTACTTGTATACGACCACTCTCCCCTATGTCTTTCGCTCAGTTTTTTTTTTTTTTCGTCCGTTTAACATCGCACTTTTGCTTCCGTTCTCCGCTTCAACGCTCCTTCTTTTGTATGTTTTTTGTGCACGTTCGAGATCGATGCCGGACAAATATACTAGTGACAGTATAGGACCCCGGAGTGCTTGGCCCGCGCCGTAATTATCGGTTCGGACTTTACGGGTACGTAGACATAGCGTTACCGTCTAATTTTAGATCATCCCCGTGAAGAGACATCTGGATTTTGTCCTGCTCGTAGATTCCATGATTACGATTTGCAAGGAAGATCGGTTTGTTCGTTCACATTGCATACTTTTTCACATTGCATACTTGTCTATCAAAGCACACTTTAGTGTCGTATTATCGTTTGCTACGGTCTTTCCCGGACTGCGGCGCGACGTAAAGGCATAAAAACGCACGCACTCGTGATACAAGCATCACGAAAACATCCATATCTAGATGCTAAACATTCTATTATAATTTCTATGCGGTGTAAAATAGCCAACGTCAAGATAAGGACGTTGCAGCCTATACACGAATCACAACAAGGCGCCAATGTCCTCGTTTTCGATAACGTACGCTCGGAACAGAAACAAAACCGAGTAGTAAAAATAGCGAATATATTTCTCGTAAATACGCACATATATGTTATGTTAATGTAAATAGACTATACGATATACACTGTCATACTGTAAGATAAAGCGTGTGATACATGTCACACGCTTCACCTTAACATATAATCACAGCCATCAATTCTAATTCATACTTTGTGTTATATATCTCAAAATGTTAGCTCCCAATTGGCACAGAATAAAAGTTGTACTTACCTCTCCTCTCTTTCTTTCTTTTTACATACACATGTATCGCAATTCAATCATTCAAAATGACTAATAGTCGATTTATGTTGTAAATAAATGCAATTATTGCATTGCGTTCGATACGTTCCGATACGTTCGATTACGATTGAGACATGAAATTGTTTCCTACTCGTTGCGGCAATATCATCTATTTTTTATAATTACGTTCATATATCTTTCTTCTTCTATCGTCTGTATGCGGCAAAAATTATAAAAGCGTCTTTCTCAAGAAATGCATTTGCACAAGACTTTCATCATGCTACCGCTTACAACAATTACAATATGCGATTGAACCCAACATATTTTAATATACTCACCGAGCTTAATAGTAATGTTCCTCTCTAATTCATTCTTAAAACGAACAGTCTGTACACCAGAAATAGCTTTTACAATTGTCGATTTTCCATGCGCTACATGTCCAATAGTACCTATAAAAAGTCCATACACATTTTTATATCGTTTTGTGCGATTGACACAGTTTCTGCATTAAAATCCAAATAATCGGGACCTTGCATACTCACCGATATTAATCGTTGCTTGTCTGCTGATTACTTCGCGAGACAATGCAGTCAATTTGCTCACATCCTGTATAATAATACAAAATTATAAACATCTCTTTATTTAATTCCTCTTTAACATATTGCGGACGGATGACGAGATATCTCGTCTTTCCCATTTCGTCGTTAGGGGTTGGATGACGAGATATCTCGTATTTCATATTGCGTTGTTAGAGGCGAAAACATGGCTACTGGGTACGGTTAGCAATAAAATGTCTGGTTCGCAATGTATCAAGTGATATTAATGTCTCAATGATAATATCAAGAAGTGATATCAGGGAAATCATAATAATAAAGAGAAAGGGAAAATAATAAATTCTGTTTTAATAAAAATAATTTAATATATATAAAATAAACGTGTATAGTATATACATGTGTGTGTATATATATTATTAACATTAATATCACAGGAAAGAATAGACGAATCTAAAGAATTGAGCTATACAACTGCTTTAATTATCAGATTAATCTTCATTAATAGCTATTAATAATTACAATTTTGTAATAATATAAAAATAACCTATGTTTTGCTTTTAGAGTGATTAAAGCGATAGAAAATTTAACTATAAGCACACAGGTGCCTGGCTGAAACTCAAGATATCTAAGTTTATGATTCATTTTTATCTGATTCATTTCAATCTTTTCCTAAATTTTCCAACATACAACTATATCTGTATTGGTCTTTTGGAATAAGATTATACACAAGTTTGCGGCTGCGATAATTCACATGCGACGATGCTAAGGAAACAATACGTAGATAGCATAAATTAACCACAAATTAGTCTAATTTAACCAAGCTTAAACTTAGTCGACGAACCGCGACTGAACTTGCAGAGCAAAGTTCTGAGGAGTGAGGAACGAAATATTACGCACCGGTTGCGTATCTTAGGAGAAAATATCGGTTCGATTTACAGTAATAACGAATAAAGATCGTTATTCCAAGGACTCGCGCGAATCTAAGCGCGGTTAAACGCTGCCGCGACGAATCAGTATGTTAAGGGCGCGGAAGAATAAGGTTAAGTCGTGGCGGGTCAGGAAGAGCTGACGCGGCATTTGACAAAAAATCGTAACTTACCAATTTGGATAAGTCTTGTTTGCACAGATTTGGTTGACCGGTGGTCACCCCGAGCCCTTCTTCGCCGCCCATTTTTCCTATGATAATGATATACGCGGAGTCTCGTACACTTATTCACACGAGGTTGCACGAGATACCTCCTGTCCGTTTTCTTCGCTAGAAAACCGTCAACCAGTACTGGAAGCAGTGCTTGATGGGAGATGGAGGCATAAAAGAAGAAGACAGAAAGTTTTCACTCGCGCATGCGCAGATGTGATTAGACTACGCTCCGTGAACACAACGGTTGAGTGATTTGACTTGAGAAAGATGAACATGATTGGTAGATGTAACAGTACGCACCAATCATACAGCGTTTTGGATGCCGACTCGACCCAGCTTGTGCAGAGTTCCGATAATCGTTACAATATTGCAAACCATAGTTTATTTTAAGCCAGCGGCACACAATGTTCGTTTTCGTGCTGGATTGCTTGTTGGATAGAAATAGTGCGTTCTGATTGGTGCATTTCCAAAAATGGATGACAATATATCAATCAAAACGCAGTATTACCATCCAACGAACAATCCAGCATGAAAACAAGTATCGTATGCCGCTGGCTTTACTGTACTATAGTATGCAATATTGTAATAATTATTTAATCGGAACGCTGCTTGAGTCGGGTCGAGTCAGCAAATCAAAAACGCCAATAGGTAGTTTTTAACTCAACGATTGTACAGTGCTGAGCAGAAAGATTGCAATATTTCTTTTTTATGAGCTTCACACGCATCTCATATCCGATAAGAAAATATATTTTCCGAGGATAACTAAGAAAAAAATTCTCCTATCGGACACGGTCGATTATTCTTCTCACGTTCAACTATGATTGGTCAATTTCTTAAGGCTTAAAACACCTACAGACCAAAGGTCTGTTCGTTTTCGCTGCACCGCTGAACTAGTGCAATAAGTTGAAGTGAGAAAACATATACTTATCTCAAGGCTAACGAAAAAATAAAGATAGTAGTACAACTCAATGATGGGACAGACTATATTTTACTTTAGTGTTTTACTTTAAAGTAGTATTCAACGACGGGCCAGCCTTTTTGACAGGAGTCGAAAAAAACCTTTATTTTCAAATAATATAATTTAACGACAGGTCGGATTTTTCTTCTTTATTCTTCAACAACCCTACTGAACAGCAAGTCAGATATTCATCGGTCGATTATCACTCATCCGTAGTGTAACCTCTAGCGGTGATTACGTAAAGGTGAGGGAGAATTCTTCAACGACGGGCATTCTTTCTGCGTTTACAAAACTTCAAGGTAATTGAAAATATAAACAATTAGGAAACTGATATCATCAATCTTTCCGGTATGTGATATCGTATATATAGTACACGTAGGAAAAATTACAGTCGTAAGAAAAATTGCACATTGTATATATGTAATATTTTATAAAATGTAAGAGAGGTTATATTTCACTCACCAGGAAATTAAAGATTTACACGGTATATCATACTAACTATTTATGTAATGCATTCAAATTTCTTAATGCTGATTTCTTAATGCTGATCTTTTCAGGCACATCATGATAGACAAGACCACAGGCCTTTTTGGAACCAAATATGGCGCACCCATGTTCAAGTCTCCTTTTTCAGATGCATTTCTGCAAATAGGCAGTTTACAGTTCAAAAAGGACTGTGCACCGTATGAGCTGATGTTTGCCGACTGCATGGAGGCTTATGGCCATCACATTGGCCTAGATAAATGCAGAACAATATTTAACGACATGTACGAGTGTACATATAGAGTAAAGAGAATACGGCGTGTTATTGCAATGAATAAAGAAAGAATACGTCAATATAAGAATGGCGAGAGAAAGGAATACTATCCACAAGGACCACCGATTGACCTGTATTAAACTGTTACTCTCACAAAGATACGTAGTTTATGAGTACATGTAAGCTGGAAATTCTGTAAGATTGATCATCTAAATAGACGACGATAGTGTGTAATCGTCTATAGAAAACTTGTTGCATCGAATTCGACAAATGTATCATTCTTTTTTTTCTCCTGAAGGGGTTTTGTTAATTACACATTATGGGATGTACTTGTATTGTCTTCTCTATAGGTTTTTAATTATGTACAAATGATTTCTTTCTCTTTAACAAAGTTATTGTGTAATTTGTTTGCATATTTTGTAGTTCAATATTTTTTCTTTAAACTATAGAAAGTATCCTCTGTATAGGAAGAGAACTATGGCAAAATTAAGTGCTTGGTTAAAACAATCTGTGTAAGAAAATTTTGAAGAAATAATAAATTTAAATGCAATACCTATTGGTTCTCTCTTAAAGATATTGTTGCAATATGAAAAGATTATTCGACAATTAAGTTTTTTTTCTTTTTCAGTCTCATCTTTAGTAATAAAAAAATTTGTTTAAAACAAACGATATCCTATAGTTTCCATAAAAAATGTAATCAATATAATAGGGACAAATTTACTTCTGCTTTTGTTATGTTAGCAAACTATATTTGTATTTTAAAAATTGATATGAATTTATCTTAATTCGCGATAATTTATGATTATTTACATACTATTTGTCTGTATTTCATTTATCAAATTTCTGTATAAAGAATCAAGTTAAATTTTTGATTGGACTGAACACACAAGTGAGACAACGATACCTCCGTGATCATCTCTCTCGGATTATCTTTCGAGCGCCAAATGGCGTTTCCATATATTGTGGCTCAGGGTGGTCGATAAAATCCTTTTAAAAATAGTGACGCTCGATGCTCATAGATGGCGGAAGAAGCATCTTTGGTAATCGTGAATTCGTCCAGCTCGCATTACGTGCCCGCGTATCTTCCACTGTGGATACGGAGATCGTCGGGCAGGTTGGCGAAGGGAGTTTTCGTGGAATCATTCTCGAAGTTTGCCGGGTGAGTCGACTCGTCTGCGTGGAGAGTTCTTGCACGTCGGTGCTGAGCGAATCGTTCAACTTTTATTTATGATCTACCTGTCGACTGTGCGAAAACACGAGTCGAGAATATACCTGTGCGCATGTTCGGAACGAATTCCCCCTGCGATTACATAAATGGAGCAATATTGTGTCGTGTTGAAATTTGTCCGAGTTACATCGTGTTATTGGACTTGACGTAAATCGTGCTGTAATTCTGCCGAATCGATTACGCCGAATTCCACTTTATATACTTAACGCGAGACTTAATTTGAAAAACCTTCAGATACAACAGTGACAGGGGTACATATATTTAAAGATCGGGTAGAAGATATATGACGTGTTAAACGTTCTTTCTATCATATTTTTCTATACTCGCATTATACTTGTCTTCAATGTTAATTGTATCACTCGTCGATAAATTACCACGTAATACTTGCATAGAAAATGTTACGTTAGAATTCTGTAAAATACATTGGTACATACTCGTAGGCTCATAGTCGCTATTATGAGATCTACAAGAAGGAAAGTTGACGTAAAAGAATACTATGTTTCTTTAATTGCTCGCGAAGTGACTATTGCAATGAGAGTTAGGTATTTTTACAAAGGTTTTGAGAAATTAAAGAAAACTAGGATAGGATATCGCAAGGCTGACTTAAAAAAAAATGCAAATGATTTTTGACGGACTTGATAACATAGATACATAATATCAGTATAGAATTTACTTTGAACTCTGACATTTACAGAAATTGGATTTCCGACGATGTTCCGCAACCAAATCCCCACGATTATACGGCTAGCTGCCCAGGAGCAACAATGGCAGCAACAACAGAGAGGTATGGCCACCCTCAAAGCTATTTCCATACGTCTCAAGTCGGTCAAGAATATTCAGAAGATCACACAGTCCATGAAGATGGTATCAGCAGCCAAATACAATCGCGCTGAGCGCGACTTGAAGCAGGCCCGACCGCTCGGTGTCAGCACGAAAGTTTTCTACGAGCAGGCCGAGATCGAAGCACCCGCGGAAGAACCGAAGAAACTCGTGATCGCTGTGACCAGCGATCGTGGCTTGTGCGGCGCCGTACACACCGGCGTGTCCCGCAACATTCGCGACCAGTTATTGGCCGATTCCAAGGAACGCGAGAACACGAAGATCATATGCATCGGTGAGAAATCCCGGGCGATTCTCTCACGTCTGTTCGCCAACAACATCCTGTTCGTCGCCTCCGAAGTGGGTCGTAAGCCACCGACGTTCAACGACGCAGCCAAGATAGCCATAGAAGTATTAAACAGCGGGTACGTTCCACTCGACTGTTACCCGTAGCTATTCGGAATGTTCCATTCAAACCGTGTTAGATAATACCGAGTAACTACCGAGTATCTGCTCGGTACACAAATTCGTTCATAGTCCGAATCGCAGCGAGTTCCTCGGGATTTCTGTAAGTTTGATTTCTCAAAATTCTTGAACCTTCTCGATATCCGAAGTTCTTACGTTATTTTTCTGTTCCTCTTAGTCCGGGTGGTCGATTGTGTATCTCGAAACGAAGTGAAAATGAGAAAAAAAGTGAGCGAATTTATTAGAATATTTTTAATTTCATTGGTCAACACCCAGTTAGATTTTTACTCATTTTTAGGATTTTTATTTCGTTTTGAGATACACCATCGACTCCCGGTCTACGATAGTGTTTTAAGCCTTAAGAAATTGGTCGATCACAGTCGATTGTTCTCCTCACATTCGACTATAATTAGTCTCAATTTCTTAAGACTTAAAAAACCTACTGTAGACCGGGACTTACTTATCCATTTCTCGATTCGGCGGCGTGCCATCATTCCTTCTAACTGTTACTTCTTCACAGTTACACCTTCGGTTCCGGACGCATAGTTTACAACAGATTCAAATCCGTGGTGTCGTACGCGGTGGATAATCTACCGTTGTTCGACAAGAACGCTGTGGTGACAGCGCCGAAGCTGTCGGTATACGACTCTCTCGACGACGAAGTGATACAGAGCTACCTGGAGTTCTCGCTCGCCTCGTTGCTGTTTTACTCGATGAAGGAGGGCGCCTGCAGCGAACAGTCCAGCCGTATGACCGCGATGGACAACGCCAGCAAAAACGCCGGCGAGATGATCGACAAGCTCACACTCACCTTCAACCGCACTCGGCAGGCCGTGATTACCAGAGAATTGATTGAGATTATCTCCGGCGCCGCCGCTTTGGATTAAGAACGTCGCGCGCGCGGCTATTAGTATCTCTCAATTTATAGCGCCGGCAGATGGAACGAGAACAAGTGTCGCCGGAAAAAAGAAATGAACGGGACGAGGAAGATGAACGGTGCTAGAGTCCGTTATACTGCCGAAAGATTGCAATTTCTGATCGATTTGGACGGAGCTGAATAATTCGCAAATACGATCCGCAAACACCGAAATCGTTGTACCATTCGTTATTTTTATGTCCAGGTTCAATAAAAATCGATCGAATTACGGAATTACGGTATTTCATTGAGACAACAACGCCCTTGTTCTGAATGTAAATTCTACGTCTGACGCACCGCCGATGTTCACCTGTCCTGAGATAAATATTGTTGTCATTAATGAATTAAAGTTTAAATAAACGTCAAATCTATTGTGCTCTTTAATTAAAACTCATTTTTCTCGATCGTGAAAAATAGTCCAAGTTCAGTGAATTGATGGATTTGTCGATTTTTACGTTGATAGTGATGCCAATTTTTGTACTCGAGTACTAAACCCGGAAAAAGTTTTTTTTATAACTAAACTAAAAAGAGGAAGGTTCGAATTTCGGCTGAGCGACTTTAGTTCCTAGATCTCCATTACGAGCCGCCACTGTTTTCAATGAGAATTCGAGCACGTAGTATGACTCAACGACTGGTCAGCCGTCTTTTAAAATTACACGATTAAATGGCAAATAAAATGCGCTTTAACACTATGCTTATTAAATTAAAAAATTTTTATTTGTAATTACATTAAATTAATAAAGTAAAGGGTCTCGATAAGTCAGAAATTTTCTTATTTTCAAGTAGTATGACTCAACGATTAGTCGAGTGATCAAAACCGCCGGAAAGTTTGTTTACGTCGACGTTCCACACGGTGATTAACTGTCACAGTGATTAACTTGTGCACCTTGTATTATCGTTAACAACAATACGAGAATTGTCATTATAAAAGAGTTACAATGTCGCAGGGAAAAGGTGAGTCACTTAATTGTAATATCACGTTTCACTTTTGTCGTATTACACCGTATGGTATCAGTCTCACAAGCGTCAGTTCGATATAAAAGTATATGGTTACGCGACAGTTGCCAGATTTGCAAGCTAATATTGAAAAAAAAATCGTCAGATTGATAGTATACTACTATATAAACCACTTATGTTATAATCGTAAACATATTAACTTCAAAGTGGATGAATCCAAATTTATTATTATTGCCTATCGAGACAAAATTAAACCAAAATCGAAGTAAAGTGTTTTCCCATCAGAATAAAATTAAACTTACAAGACGTTCCGTTTCGCAGGAGGAAGGAAGAATCGTGGACAGCATCACAATAAAGACAGGATCAATGTCGGCGACAACGGTAGAGAGGTATTGGAGAACATAGATGAGAACAATCCAGTGATTCGGCAGTTCCGTGTTTACGCGGCTGAGCTGGACGCAAAGCACGACCGTTACGAGAGGATCTTCAAGATCAATCGGGATATAACCATTGAAAGCAAGAGGATCATCTTCTTGCTGCACACCATCGACAAGGAGAGCAAACGGGACAGCGTATTGGCAACAGCCAAGTTGAGACTCGATACTGTAGCAAAGAAGCTGTTCAGAGACATCGCGAACGAGTTGGATGGTCAGGACATGTATCAGTTTCACAGGGCCTACCGTGCCGGCCTGGAGGAGTATGTGGAGGCGCTCACATTTTACGAGTACCTGGAGAACGGTGGTTGCACGCGTGACTGGATAACGCTGGAGGAGATGTTGACATACCATGTAACCTTGAAACCATCTGAGCCACTAGAGTCATCCGATCCAGAAGGAGAGCAAAATCTGTCACACGCCACAAAAATAACACGAGTGCTGGTCCCACCGACCGATTACATAATGGGTATGGCTGATCTAACTGGAGAGCTGATGCGGAGATGCATCAACAATTTGGCAATAGGTGATGTAACCAGTTGCTACCACACGTGCAATTTCGTCAGAAACATGTACGTCGCCTTCCTGGGCTACACAAATGCGTGTAGTAACGAGATGCACAAGAAAGTCTTCACTCTCAAGCAGAGCTTGGCCAAAATGGAGAAAACGTGCTACACCATTAAAGTACGGGGTTCCGAGATCCCGAAACATATGCTGGCCGACGTGGCTATTCGCGGGACAGCCGAAGATTATACCACGGAAGATGACGAGGGGTACCAGGCATTCTAATTCTTAGTCGGAGTGAACTTGACCGATGCGGGTTTTTGTTTTTTAAATTATTTCGATCTGTCAGTGCAATCAGATAAAAACGAACATCGGATTTAATATATTTGTGGGAAATTCTGTTAGAAATAGAGAAGAGAGAGAAACCTTAAAAAAGACAACACACTGGTTGTGATATATACATATATATATATGTAATATATAACTAATACCTTTTATATGTACTTTTCTTTTTAAACGTTGAGCACGTAAGTTGCAGGTACATATATTAGCCCAATATAAAAATAAATATTTCGTACGAAAATAAATTCATATTGCTATAAAGATGGATCTACAATTTGTACGTTCTCGACATGTAACAACGTCCAACGACAGAGAGAAAAGGAAGAAGTCATCTTCGTTAGCCGGTCGTGCCGTCCTCCCATTCGCTCCTGCTCTCGTCCGAGTCGCTCCTCGTGTCTGAGCTCTCTGTGTAAACGGACGGCTCGTAATCAGACTCGTCGACGGACTCCATGGACGATGCGTCTGTTTCCGTGTCCACAACAGCCGGCTGCTGCGCAGAGTTGGCGACTTTACGACGACGACGAGGCATGCTTATATGCTTGAATTGCGCCTTGTGCTGTGGATTCTTGCGGTAACACTTGTTGCCATACGGACATTCCTCCCGGTTATCCACTTCATCGGCATCGGCATCGTAATCAGCATCGCCCGGATGACTGTAGTTATTCTTGTGGTTAGGATTCTTCCTGCGTGAATTGTTCAAATTGCACTTTTTGCGAGGAACATTTTTAATTTCGATAAATTTAAGTCTGAAGGGCCATTATGGTTCCCAAGACGAGGTAAACGTTACACAAGTGCAGAGAAAAAGAATTTACCACAACATTTATAATTTCATTGATCAACACCTAGTGAATCTGCTCACTTTTGTAATGTTCGTTTTGAGGACCGTGATAGTCCACTCTGTTCTTTTTATAGCTGACCTACGTTGCACTTTTCGCCTTTAGAGTGAAACAAGTATATGACTTAGCGTTTAAGAGGAAAAAGAGTGAAATTCCAGTGCACCAGTTCAGTTAAGAGGGATAGACCTTTTATCAATAGAAAATTAGATTGAACGCTTTGTTTACCGATAACACCGAGTACCATACGTGCACTTCTCCCTCTTAGGAACGTCGTTGTTCTCGCGATTCGAGTTGCTCGCTCGATCTCGACGCGCAACAGGTGATCGGGATTCGTCCCTCATCGGTGCTACTGCTTCGATAATCGCTTCCTGATCGCTCGCCTGATCGAAGTGAGCATCGAGATCGCACGTGGGTCTCTCCTCCGGCTCGACATTCGTCGACTCGTCGCTTCTCTTTTCCCGTTTCGCATTGCTCTCGCATTCAACGGAAGCCTCGGCTGCATCTGGAAGATCTGACGATATTTTGGAGCAAGTCGCGGATACGTCGCTTCCTTCTGGGTAGCTGCAATTCGAATGCACGTGGATACATGGTAAACATACATGTTTCTGTTATCAGATACACGGAGAAAACATTGTGGTAAAAATTATCGCACAATTTCGTAATGCTGGACCATACCGGAATTATAACTGAAATTATGGTACAGTCCTCAGTGGTATATTTCGTTGTACACATCACTGAAGATTACATTTAGATTACATTAAAATGAACACACATAACAATTTCAGCCATCATTCTGATATGATCCAGCATCACGAAATTTGGCAGTAATTTTTACTACGATATTTTCTCCATGCAGTTTTGCACGATTGTGTGACTGAGATAAAACCTTGTGGAATAGATTTCTTGCAAGAATGGCGCGGCTGTGTCTCCGTGCTCGTTTCCATTAATGACAGGAATCGGACATTTGGCCAGGGAATCCTTGTCGTTGAGGAAATCATTCAAAGTTTCAACAGCAGACGTAACAGCTTCCGTATTGAACGACAGACATACTTTCTTGCTGTCCACTATATCTTGGTTGAAATCTTCCTCAGCCTAAAATACAAGGGACTGTAATATCTCTTGAGAACATCCTTCGGCAACTGTCACGCATCAACAGTGGTCGTCATACTTTTCTCTTTAACGTCTGATCGTTTTTTTCCATCGTTTCTGGCACAGAGATGACCTTAAACCAACATTTGTCAGGCAGCAAAGAGCATACGTCACCTGGCTTTATCGGCGTGCTGCTTCCAAACCTAAGAGGCTGCCATCGTGTGCATCCGGAGGGTTTCATGTAACATGGTACCATCTGATATATTGAAAAATACTCTCTACAGAGAACTGATATCGTCAATCTGCGATATATATCGTGAGATATCGAGATATTATCGGAGACTTGAAAAATTAAAGTGGTTTACATGATCAGAATTCCACACGTTATTTAGATGATGATTACGAACGATTATTGTTATGTGATTGTTGATACGTGTACACATGTATCGTGAATCAAATTTTCGCAAGATCGAAAAGAACAGGAGAAAGAGTAAGCTAATGAGTTTGTAAGACCTTACCGGAGTAATCGTCATTTCATCGTCAGGTGACAGGTTGATGATTAAGGTGTGTTTAAGCACTGGCTTGTCATTACACTGTGATAACAATAAAGGTCGTAAGTTTCGCCAAAGACGTTGTTAGAAACACGTGATGATCAAGCTCCCAACATTGTCACACACATTTCACCAACACATAATCGCTCCGTATTTTTTCGTCCAAATGTCATGAATGTCGAACCGCATGAATAACGGGTCTATGTTGTAATGCACTATCTACACTCGATTACTTCCACTTTTTATTGTCTCGAATATACGTATTTGTTCATCTCGTTTTAAACGCAAAAGGTGTAGCGAAAACGAGCACATACTGACCTAACACTGACCATGCGCAAACATGAGTGAGGATCAACCAATTTCGGTAAACCTAATCGACCGATTAACTCAACAGAATTGGCCAATCCACATGGATCAGTTAGTTAATTGGACAGTACGACCGGCCAATTCCGTTGAGTCAGTCGGTCGATTAGGTTAACCGAAGTTGATGGAATCGGGGATAAAATGGTTTGAATGCAGCCAAGTTCAGAGCGTAATCGAAATGGTCCAATGAGAGAACAAATGGTCAAAAATAAGTTCTCTCATTGAAATATTCGTCAACCCGTTTTATTGATTTTCTTCTTGGCTACGTATAGATTGTTATGCAATTGGTTATGTTTGATTGGTTATTTTTGATACATAAATTCATGAACGGCACGGCATGACAGCATCAGCTTACGTAATCAAGTGCAGCACAGTCAACGTTTCAATAGCATTCTCAATTAAACGACGATACAAGCTTTGTGATAGGTTAGATGGAGCTTATGACGTCATTTAATCGCTCCCAGAGCAAGCCAAGCCCGCCTCAGCCGAAAAAGCGTTTTAATTCTCACCGAAAGGCCGAATAACGAAACATTTTTCATAGCGCGTATTTTTCACAGAATAACGAATATATAACGGACATCTCGTTGGATTAGAACAGAACTCACTTCTGTCGTGATGCCTCGGCCGATAATATTGTTACCGATTTGCAAATTCGCCTTTTGCACAAGGTCATGATCTACCCGCAGTATCTGCAGTGTCTTCGTCATAATAAATTTTCCAGCGAGCGTCCAACGCGCGACGAGGCACACTCGTACATGTCGGAAACTGTCAGAACGGGATCATTGTTTTCGTGCGCTTTTCAGAGAAAGGAAACGCGGCAGGCTTCCGGCAGGTTTAAACGTGCCTTAAACGTGGTCGGCTGCGAAATAGGAATCGCAAGTGAACCGACGTTACTCGCTATATTGATGTTTTGATCGTGACAGTAGCTAATTCCCAAGTAGAACGGAACATCACGATAACGCTAAAATGACGCCAAAATGAAGAGAAAATGACTACAAAAACCCATTTCATTTTCCCATCATTTTGACGCCATTTCCTATCCTACTTGAATCCTCACTAAGCAAGAAACATTAAATAAATCTTTTGAAACAACAATTTTATGGGGATTTCATAAACATTTTGACATATTTTATAAATGTTTCTGTTACTTGATAATATAATATTCCTAAATATTAAAATCATAATATAGAAATATTATTTTTAACCAAATATTGTTAACAATAACAATAACGTTATATATAACATTAAGAACAACATATTTGAAAACCTTATATGTTGTGTCAAAAGTGTCATTGTAATAACGTTGTGTTAACGATTCCTTGCTTACCGGGTTAAACCTTCCGTACATACACGTGCTCGAAAATTAGCTCCTGGTTTACGAACGACGTGTATATTAATAAATATCGCGATTTTGCGATGTACTTGAATTCGAGAATCAACGATCGAACTCAGCAGATCGATAATTGTCATCGAATAATCTTTCGATGATCGTTCATCCGGCGCGAAATTCTTTCCGACTCACCAGTTCAGTCCGCGCCAACAAGTAACGTTCCTGAAAGAAGAGGGAGGCAGAGAGGGGGGAGGGAGATGTATTGCGGGAAAGACACAGGCAGGCGTTTAACAATGAAATGTCTTTTTCATTTACAATTACAAAGAATGTACACGCTTATAAACAAACAAAGAGAAATGCGCCGAATAGTACAGTACAGATCTGACGCGATGCTATAAAGCTCTTTGCATGGAAAGGTCTCATAAAAAACTGCCAGAGAAACGCTAGACTCGTTTACTTGTTCGGTGAGTGAGGATGTAATACAGCTGGACCAAACCCGAATAGCCGCGAATCGTCACGCTATTATTTATGCCCGAATATATCATATCCGAATTAATCACGCTTTCTCTTTCTTTCGTGCGCGCGATCGAAGAGACGCAGAGGAGTCATACAGTCCGCGTCTATCAGACGAGGTCTGATCGAACGCGCGTCTCACGGACAATCGATGATAATACGTAATTTGCGTCCGACCGGTTATTGTTATGCAATGTTAATTACGTCTCGTTACATTTGTACAATTCAATACCTTGAGACTAGAACCGACAACCGAAATCATTTCCGCAGTTATGAAAGCGGAAGGAAGTGTCCTTCTATTTCCAAGCCGTAAAATGACTGGTTGCTCCAAGTTCAAAACAGTAAATCAAAGTGACACCCTTCGTCGCCGCTCGAAACGCTCCTATCGAGGAACACGTAATTCGCACGTACAACGAGACGTTACTTTGAATAAACTATCGAAAGTTCTCCATTGTTGTGTACGTGTGTGTGTGTGTGTGTGTGTGCGTGGGTATGAATGTAATATTTCCGCGTCAAAACGGGAAAAGAAGAAAATAAATAATTTCGATATATATACACCCGAATGAAGTAGACTGTTCGTATTGTATCGAGAACTCGCAATAATTCCACAGACACAACGTCCTATATATAATTCTTTTTTCACGCACAATTTCTAGCTGGATCCAGCAGCTGCGATTAATCGCCCAATGGGAAACAAAATGCACGTCCTTTCGAAACAACTTCGCGCGAAATTTTCTACTTAGCGACGAATTACACGTCTCTCGTTACTAACAGTCCGAGAAGTGAACTCGTTCTTTAGTCGTTCCCGAGCGTCACTTGTGTGTGTGTGTGTGTGTGTGTATGTGTGACCTGTCGGGAAAAAAAACGCGACTTATCACACGCGATTTCAACGACCTACGTCATAACTGCTCTCCGGCAAACTCCGACAATCAGTAGTATAACATAACATCAATGTTATAATTTCTCACTCAACAATACAAATGCAATGTGACGCGTGTGTTATGTAACAGTTACACTGTCGAGCAGGAAATTGTAACATTAATTGTTACATTAACCGATAATTGGTGTTTGCCGCGTCCTCCGTGTTTTCGTCCCAATACGTCGGATGCAGAGAGATTACCCGTTCTTCACACATGCCGGGGACATTGTTTACGCGCGGATTCACGAGGAGCGTTTTGCGTGCACGAGTTTCCCGTTAATTGGCTCCGCCGATCGTGGTAGATATCAATTAATCCTCCGAGTGGCGACCAGGGTCATTTGCGTCCGGACCATCACAAGAAGTGTATCTCAAAATGAAATCATAAAAAATAAAATGTTTAGTAATTCATTGTTGACGAAATAGTTATGTGGTGTTCAAGTAGAAGGGTAAAGGAAGTTCCGGTTATTTTTTGGAGATTCTTCCGAGCAGTTCAAGAGGAGAAAAATCGAGGAAGACACAAATGACCTTGGTTGCCACTCCGAAAGTAGTGAAAATATGTTACCACTCGGAGGGTTGCAAACACGAATGCGTCCGCGAACTTCCGAAAGGAGACTCGATGTGCGCGTGGCCAGAAGAAACAAAATATCGCGTGGCTTCGACGCGACTTACATACTTCAGATACATGTTAACGTAAGAACCCTTTCAGGGATGTAACCCTTTCAGACCTGACGTTGACGATCGACGAGCTTGTCCATCCTGTGCGAAGGCCGAGAACATTTCCTCGTGAGAATCGATCGTCGGCCGAAGAATCGAGCGCTGTCGGCGCGAGCTCGCCGTTTAGCTTACGAAATAGGAACTTTGTAGATCGCGGTCTCCTCCGCGAAACAGAGGACGAAACGGGGGGAGAGTCGATAGAGATTCATTTTGCGAAGTTTTCGCTCAGCGAAAATTCCTGATCTCCAAGATCGAGGATCGCGTGGTCGAATTCCTAATTATTCTTTCCCGTCGACGCGCGTCTCGATCTCTCTTATTCATTTGTTTATTTAACGGGGAAAATCCCTTCTTTTCGCGAAGAACGATGAGAAATTTCAGGAAACGGATGCTCGAACCGAGGCACGTGAAATTTCTGTCTGAACTGTATCTGTGTATTGAATCGTCACCGTGATAGCATCGTTCATCGACTCATGTCATTATTGTCGAGGTAGCGTCAAAAGTAGAAAAAGGCGATAGAAAAACGAAAAAATGTGAAGAAGATCGCGCGAACGTACAGACGGCTCGCAATCGGCGGCAAATAAATCTCTGTCGACTCTCGCCTTGGGAAATCGTTCCGTTTCTTTTCTCGCAGAATCGTTCGACGAATTATATAGTCTGGTGTGTGTCGCAGGCCGGCTTCGGTTGCCTATAATTACGAAACTAATCAGCGCTTGCGTTATCCCGAAGTTCGAACGTCCGTCTCGGTGCATGACGGTACTTGGAAGTGACTTTCATTTCGTGACTTGGATATTGTTGTATTATAGCACACATATCACAGCATACCTTAACGAGCTTGCACTTGCTAGAATAATAGTACAGTGTCGTCGTGCCTCGAAGTAAGGTAACAAGATAGACCAATGTGCAACGACGGGAGCGGAAACAATATCGAAACGGGAGAGAGGTGGGTCGAGAGTCGACCTGATCATCCTGTGACAAAATCTCGATCGAATTTTCTGCAATGGTGCAACCATGTGCTGTCGTGTGTCCACGATGAAACGTAACGTGAGTTCCGTCTAATGTTAACTAAATAGACCCCGATCTGAGAAAAGCTGTAAATATCGGGGATTAGAAAAAGCGCTGGATGCGGCTCACTTCGTTGGAACGGAGCATAACAATTCGTTCATACGGAACGCCCGTCACGAACGGCAGCTGCGGCCTTTCCGGGCGTGATTGATTTCGACGATGGAACGTAGAGCCTTTTCCGGCGAGACATCAGCTTCCGATAATAATATTTACAGCCTTCTTACAACTGTGGTCTACCAAGGTGGAAAAAATTCAAAGAAACGGAAAGTGCTGCCAAAAGAAGGATCTCGACGAGCTTCGTCCAGAAGCGCTAAAATACAATAGTAGATATTTAATCCCTGAATCTCGCGCGGGAATGCTTGTGATCGAAGCTGATCGACGAGAAAAGCGGTCGGAAAGAGACGACGGTAACGTCTAATAACGAGGTAAATGAACGTGTTGAGTGTGTGTCGTTTTACTAATACAATATATATATATAACTCTTACGTGTAAATATAAATTAAAAACTAGTATCGCCTTGTGGAATACCTCCTTCGAAGTGATCGAATGAAGCTCACTGAGAATGATAGAGACCCAAGTCACACACTCGTAACGACAGAGAGAAGATAGGGAAAGAGAAATAAATAAAAAGAAGGGAGAAAGAAAGTGGATCAATTAACAGAGGAAAGAAAATAGTTTCTATCTGTGGGAATGTGTCCTACCTACTTCCACGGCCATAAGAGATCCGTAGACTATCCTTCCGCTCGTTTCTAAGATCGATACGTCTTGTGGCTTAGGTCTATATAAATTTCAACGCTTCATCCGGGTGGCGCGCAGACTGGCGCCCGACGTTTAGCGAAACTTGCTCTGGAATGGTGCAACGTGTCCGTCACAATCAGAGACATACACACGTATACATATGTACAGAGATTGCTTCTGACTCGGATCTTTTTGGGGAAGAGGCGCGCGCGCGAGCGCAAGGCCGCCGCGTAGTACCGCCGTCGCGACGAGTATCGAAGAGGAAAGAAAGAGGAAGAGGAAACGATATCCACCGGAAGAGCGGCTTACTAAACGAAAGTACTGTATGTGTATATGTGTGTATACGTGTGTGTGTGTGTATATATATGTGTCTTTAAGCGTTAAGCTGCGCGTGAACCGCGACTCGCGCGAAGTGTAGGCGATTCGAACAGAATTTCGCTGGAATCCGTCTTTCGCCGAGCGTCCAACTACCAATCTTCGTGGTCGGGCATTGAGCTTCGCCACGCTCGCATTACTCTTGCACGATCAAACAATCGGGAATAAAGGAAGAGATCCTCTTCTACGGAAAGGAAGAGTTTCCTTTCTATATTTACACTCTCGGCAATTACACACGCGTTCATACCATATACTGTATGTTCGCACAATAGCCCGAAACCGATTCAGTAACATCTGTACACAGATATCACAGTCTACGTTTACATGACCAGTACCAGCCCTATTTTGTAACTTTTAACGACAGCGTCGTTACCGTTACCTTGTCGATGCGCAGATTTTCTGTTATATATTATACCTGCGCAACGACAACGTAACGCTAACGAGGCTGTTGTTAAAAATTACAGAGGTTCGTTTTTGTCCCTGTATTAGTTCAAGGAATATGCGTTCACTGCCAATATTGCACATTTATAGTTCATGTTACGTATACTATAGATTTAGAGTATTGGCGGTGAATATCGGAACGCACATTTCTTGAACTAGTACAACCAGAGCAGGAACAAAAACAAACCTTAGATCTAGTAACACATAAAATCGACTCGACCGTTCTCCATGTGACAACTGCCGCAAACGTAATCATCGATAGTGTCACATGTCATGTAATACAGCTGTAACACGATTACTCACACGATATGTAGCACCAATAATTGCGATACCATCCAGACAGACATATTTAGATATATTTTGATATATTGTTTTCACCGGGACTAACATAAGTACGTGAAAATCGCACACTCACATAAGAATTTTGTCAGTATATTAGTCATCCGATGTTGTGAAAATTGCGGCAATATTGCTGTGATTTTCTGATATCATAAATATTATCGTTTATTTTGCTCGAAAGAGAACGTAATTAACCCGGAATTATTGCGGTAATAACAAGTCAATTTTTTTCTTTAACCAGCATATTTTAACAGAATTATGATAGAAAATGAATTTTGAAATTCTCTGACTTTTCCGTGTTTTACAAATGGAGAATTTCCCATGAGCAATGTGCAATCTCAAACTTTAGCATTTTAGAAGCAGGGATTGCAGGAAAGGCAGCTTATATTATTAGAAGCAACACAAATAAAAGTTTAGCAACATAATATAATCCTGAATGCACATTCAGCAAAAAATAAATGAGTATTGAAAATAATACAATTGAAAGGATTTTAAGGGAGTTATGGGCGAAATTATGCGCAAAGTTACAAGCAAAGTTCAAAACTTCAAGTTTCTCCCCATCTTTCCCTGACTTTTTCAAATTTTCCCCTGACATTTTGAGCTTTCGTGACATTTCTCGATTCTCCCCGTTTGAAACACGTCGTGCTGTTGCAATGGCATCGCAAAGCATACGTTAAATATTATATTCAGCAACATTTCCGCCTATCTGGACGGGGAATCGTCAGATCAGTTTCACGCAGTTGCACGCAGATCACGGCTGTTATTGAATCCGGTCTCGGATCGCCGCGCGAACGCAGTCGTGTACCCGGAGACGATTCACGTCGCGATGTATCGCGGTTGGAGTGTGAAATCCCCGACTTCCAAAATCAGCTGGTGGGCTTCGCGGCGAACGTAATCTCTTCGGTCGATTCGGACTCGTCTACTTCCCGGCCGAGCGGCGACGACGTCGAAGTCGCCCGCTCAGACCGTGCCGGAGTAACTCTCGCTCGGCCACACGTAATACAGATGACGTCGGCGTGCATAGGTCGCCTGGAACTGCACCTCGGACGCCCGCGACGACGACTCCCGATGATCCCGTGGCCCGGCCTCGGTGTCCGCTTCTGGCTATACTATGGTACCGCCGCCTTCCGCCGGGCTGACCACATGGAGGGCGCCGCCGACTTGGCCGATTCCCGGCTGAAATCGTAAGCGGCATCAGTCCGTTGCTGCGACGACATCGCTGATTAATCGCGCTTCCGATCAGACACGTGAGAGTCGTATCGCGCGCTATTCCCCGAAAAGTGTACGCACGGCGCAAACAACGGTACAGCGGCGCTTCTCCGTTGTGCTCCGTCCCCCCCCCCCTCCCACTTCACAAACCTTTCGAGGACAAGTGGCGGGGAGCCTGTGCGAATGCAAAAGTGCGTACGCGAGAGCAAACGAGTGAATGCACAGTGCGAATTCAGTAGTGTAAATTCAGAAGCGCCGCCGATGAGCGTCTCGTCACGTCGAGATCGCTGCGCGCGAACGATTGTACTATTTCTCTACTCGTGGCAAGTTCGATACATAAGCGATAAATAAAGCAAAATACGAACGAAAAAATGATAAGTCATACGTACCATGCGACAACTCAGGGAAGTCTCATCCACGATATTCTCTTGCATCAGCCAAAGCGTGGTACAGAACATTAATCTTTCCGATCGATCAAAGTGAGAAAAAAGAATTAATGCTTCGTTGGCTTCGAGAAGTAAGCGCAAGCATTATCCGATTAAAATGAAATTGATAAAGAAAACAAAAAAGGGGGAGAAAGAAAAGAGGAACTTTCGCGCTATATAAAAGAAGCAACGCACGCTACGCGTCACCAATTTTATCGTGTGGGCTCTGTAAATAATTGGCTATTCGCAGCGTTGGCCAAGAGTGTGGGCAACATCCTCGGGGAAAGTCAAACCGAATTAGTGCGCTCATGCTGTAGAGGACGCACAAGGATCGACGGGAGCTTCTTCGATCAAAGCGAATTCTTCGAGCCGTCGATTAGCACTTGTGCAACCGTCCTATTGCAATATCAATCTGCGAAGGAAGCACCGATTGCGTGCACCTAAACTACGCGACTCGTTAAAGTTGCCTCATACCTTTGGCCGAAGCTGCGGAATGGAGGAGTGAGCGTGGGATATCTTCGTTCGTGATACAAATGCTCTATGCAAAACGCTAGGGAACACAATGATTCGAGCCCGGCACAGGATCGGCTATCATCAGAAGTACAATATATATAAAAAAAAATAAAAAATAAAAAACGAAAAAAAAGTGAGACATGCGATTACGTACGAGCTTCGCAGATGATCAAATAAGTATCACGCGTGATTACGTACATGTTTATACAGACGCGTCTCTCTCTCTCTCTCTTTCTTTCTTTGAAAACATCGCGACATATATATCTCTCCCTAGAAATTCTGCATCGTACTTGCCGAAATCTCAAGCGAAAAGCAAAAGCAGCGATTTTGTCTCTTCCTCTCTCTCTCTCTCTCTCGCTCTTTCTCGTTCGTTTAAATTTTTTGCTTTATTGTACAACAAGGCGATTCGTCGTTTTTTCAACAAAGAATTTCAATGTTCTCTCGCATTTGTTATATATTGTAAAGTCTGGGACGACGGTTTGGCTAAGTAATTCGTTGACTCTATGCTCTCTCGGCTAAAGCTAAAGCTAATAACATTTTACACGAGATAGAAAGAAGATTTCAATGAAAGGGGCCTGCCCTGTCACGAGACCTCATAAGAGCTCAAACAACATTGCTCTCGAGGAGGAGATGCAAACCAAAAACATACAGACACACACACGAACACATATACATACATATACATACATACATACACACACACACACACATATATATATATATATGTGTGTGTGTGTGTATGTGTGTGTGTGTGTCGTATTCGTATCTATTCTATAACGCGTATTCTTGCAATATTTATTGCGTGTAGATATCTTGACCAGACGATTAGGCACAGATATTAACGACAGCCTATACCATGAATGAACCTTAATAAGCAAACACGTGAGTGTTTCTTGTTTAACGCATGCATTATATAACCACGTATTAGACGTTGATCTAAATAGTATATAAGTTAAAGCTCGTCCGTTACTTTTTTGTTTTCAGAAAAACGCAATTCTGTTTACGTATATATGTGAATGTATGTATGTGTGTACGTATGTGTCTACATCTGTGTGTGTGTGTGTCTACTTTATTGTCCGTGTGTGCGTATGTAGGAGAAACAAAAATACCTTGATATTCACGCGCGCGTTCTACCCTGCTAATTTAAATTATATCGAATTTCATGCACTCGAGGTAAATCCGTAACTCCGAGAACGTCGTGGATTTACCGATCTCTAATGGAATGTCTTGAGCAAAAGGCAACGTTTTTCGCGACAGTTGTATTTATTATCATGATCCATACGACGAATGAAAGATTGACAAGCATCTCACGTTATTAACACGTTATTAATAATCACGTAAAAAAATGTCCCCCTTGACTATCACCAGTTTCCCAACGATCGCTTATAGTCGCCTCAGGCCAATGCTCGAAATCACCCGCACTTTCCATTTTCGGATGCAATGTCTACCTTCTCCTGCTTAACTCGTCCTATGAACCCGCACATGAATCAGACATTTAAATATCAGCAAGAAGTAGAGCATCGCGCGAAGGAGATAGTATACGCGATGTCCAAGAGTCTCCTGGAACGCGCTCGAGCAATTTCGCGCACCGCCTCACAGACTCGTTCACTCATAGTATCGTCCGTCCACGTGTCTCTCCGCTAATTCCTAATATAATACAAAGACTCGAAGGAAATACTAAAAAAAAAAAAAAAAAAAAAAAAAAAAAANACCTCCCAATACTAAAAGAACTCAAACGCAAGTGTACACTCTACGGTCATAGACTTAAACGCGATTAAGGGCTCTCTACAGGAAATATTAAATATACTGATTGTGTAGCGTATAAAACTTAAATAACAGCAACGCGATCTCTCGTCATATCAAACAACAAGGCAATGCCGAATTCGTTCGCAGTGCGTTACTCCCGTAATACTTTAGAGCCGGCACAACCGCTCGTTTCCCGAAGAGGTCTCCTACGTCGGCCGGCAAGAGGGGGGGACGCAGCCACGGGATCAGAGATCTTTCCGTGCCGAGTTGTCTAGCTTGATGCACCGTACGGTATGTACAAAGTCGGGCCTCGGAAACTAACGGACTTTATTCGGCCGAGTTGCAGTGACGAGCGGAAACGATCCGACCGGGTTACATCAGAGATCGTTCGATCTCAGGGAATTGATATTTGTGTAGGGACTGTTGCTATGATGATGGTGTGGCCTGTGCAGAGTGCTGCTTATCGTGAGAGGACCTACCATGTGGCCGGGCCTCGCCCACGTGTACACGTATCCGTCTTGACACGCTGTCACGAAGCAATCTTCCCTAAACACTAACTCGGTCAGTCTCTCGTGCGCCAGTTTCTTGCACACCAGCGGCTCGAGGACCGGACACTCGTCGAACCTGGGACACCAGGCGGTCCCTATCAATCTCATGGGATCGTCCATCACGGAACTAACCTTTTTATTCGCCCCACCTACTAAACCCGCCCCACCGACACTGTTCAGATTACTACTCGTGTTCGCGTTGATGCTCGAGGTCTTGTCGCCACCACTGTTCTGCACGACCGTGCTGTTGGCCGCCGCCGTCGCCGTCGTCGTCGCTGCACCCGTCGCGCCGCGCATAGTGAGGCTAAAGTTTCTCTTGTGATTATCACCCTTACGCTCGCCGAAGCCAAGACCCGCTAGCCTCTGCGTCAGTGAGTTCACCGTCGCTACCGCGGCGTTCGTGCTCGTGCTATTGTTACTAGTCTCGTTATTACCACTCACGCTCTCCTTCGAGTTTACGTTATTCGAGTTATTATGTTTAGCATTGTTCGAGTGATGGTTCGCCGTCGTCGTCCCACCCGTCGCCGTTGTCGTGCCGTTGCCACTGTTGAACGTGCCGGATGCGGACAAGGCGCTGCCGCCCGCTACCGAGGGTCTCTGCTTAGCGCACACCGGCTGCCTCAGCACGTCCTCCGTGATGTCCCACAGACACAGCTGGGTGTCCTGAGAAACGCTGCCTAACCTGTAGCACGTACCGCCCGACATCCTCAGCTCGGAGCCGCACGAGTTCCGGTTCGAGTGCACGCCGCCGCTCTGCGAGGTCGTGGACAGGCGGTTCGACTTCTCGTGAAAGTGATTGTGATTGCTGTGCGGCATCGTCTCGTCGTCCGAGCCGCTGAAGTCGGGATCGTGGTCCCCGTACGACGTCGTGTACGGGTCGAAGGCGACCACGCTCACCCAACTGTGGTGACCTTGTCCCCGCGCCACTACGCGCTTCTCGTGGAAGCTCCAGATGGTCACCAGGTCGTCCTCGCCGCCGACAACCACGTAACGTCCGTCCGGCGACCAGCATACGCACAAGAAGCCGCCGAAGTAACTCCTCGCCGAGCCGACTAGCTCCATGGTGTTGTATTGGAACACGCGTAGGAACCCATCCTGGGACACTACCGCCAAGTTCGTGCCGCACGGGCTGAAGGCAAACTCGTTTATACAACAACCCTCCGCGCCTATCACCCACCGATACAGAGGGTTCCTAGTGGATTTGGTCTTGCAGGTGTATATGGCGTATCCGTCTCCAGACTTGAACGACTGATAATGCGGCGCGGTGGTGCCGCAAAGGAGCTCTTCGTTATAGAGGTAAAGCTGACCGGAGCTGTGGGACACCAGGAACAGATTGTTCGAGCCGGGAACCCATTTTATGCACGTCACCTTGCTCTTGTCGATCAGCCTCTGAAATGTGAACGTTCCTTATTACACTGAAAAACATTCTCTCTCTCTCTCACTTATATGTCCTAACGTGTTAGTATTGTCGAAGAATTTACTGTTTCTCTTAAACTTCCATTCTCGTTAACCCTCTATTTATTATGAATTTACACGGCAATCTTCGCTAATGAAATTATTCGCTCGTCCGAACATTCGTATTCAAAACAGGCAGCACGATTGTTCCAGCGACAGAGTGCGTTCCGTGACTCGTCGCGGGAAGATGGTGCAAAGTTATGTAATGTTGCTCGTTGAGCCTAATTATTCGATTGAGTTATAATTGCATTAGCGTGGGCCCACCGGGGCAAAGTATCCTGGGCGACGCCGTTAAATGTTAACTACAAGCACGCCGGGATGCGATGAATAGCATCAGGCACTAATGCTCAACTACTATTAATTTCCCACTTTATCATGTTTCAATAAGATAACACTCGTGCGGAGTCATTGGATAAGTGCTGACAGCATTCGCGTGTATCTCTAGAAAACTATGGTGACATACTACCAGCGCGGAGAACGCTGTTTGATCTATCAGATTACTTTTTATCTCATCGTAAACTAATTCTTGCAGATAATACGGAAAGCCGTAAAGTTTCTTCAGACTCTAGCTCTAACGTGCTTATGTGAAACCAGGTTCTCTCAAGGACAAGGCGTACGGGAGAGTAATTTGTAATTTGTGCTACATTGATTTCTACGTACGTCTTCATTGTACAACTTGCTGAGTTCCTTTTTTATTGGATCGATCAGCTGTATCTGCCCTGTGGAAAATCCCACCAGCAATGGAGCACTGTCCGCTGTCGCTGTTGTTTGATTAAAATTGTGGCAGGTCGGATTGGTTCCCTTGTATAACTTTTTATCCACTGGTTTGTTCAAGTCCACAGCCTGAAATATTTTAAGGATGCAATAGCCTGTCTCATACTTCCTCGATGAAGATCAGATGAGATGTATGATAAATTAGTCCGTTTCGATCTTTTACTAACAAAGTTCATTTGCAGAAGCAAGCAAGCGCTTTTATTTCTGAAACTTTTCCGAGATAAGAAAAAAACGCCTCCTGTTATAATGTGCGATTCTCTAAAAAGGACTTTATAACAAGTGAATGAGTAACAAATTGCATTGTCATTTCAACGATCTTTAATACGTCCGTTACCAGCGTCACACACACGTATGACGCATCGATCTCTCGCGAGGGACCAACGTCACACACACACATACATACACACATACATACACACACACTGTATGACAGCAATAATTTTGCATTCTATGTCCACATAAACAAATTACGTTTGTTTACACTTGTTACGTAAAAAAATACAGGGTGTTCTACGGGGGCGATTTTCCAAAGTAGAGACGATGGTAGCGAACGTATTAACGTCTCGTGCGTATACATGCGTAAACGAAGTTGGTACGAATACGCAAAGACGCAAATCATCCATTCATAGTAAGGTGATTACGGGGAAGTGCGTCTGGAACGCTTCTGAAAAACGTCAGCTCGACGTTTCCGCGCAATAGGAAAGCAGCGATAATTGGCGCGCGTGATCGACCCCACTGTCGACGTACGTCTCGCGCACGCCGTCGCGGAGACGATGTCCTCGTGTAAGGCGTGGTAACGAACCGCAAAGATGGAGTCTTCACGGCGACACTTCGGCCAGCTGAGAGGTTAGGTTTCTCGACAACGTTCCGTATGACCGGGAAAAGCCCATCTGGGCGGCACGTCATCGTCGTTGTCACTGTCACTGTCATCACCGTCGTCGTCCACCTCCTCCTCTTCGACGTCCCCGTAATCATTCCCGCGAGCATGTCGTCGGGCTTACCTTCTTGACGCCTCGATAGACGTAGACGTAGAGCTCCTTGCCGAAGTTGAAGCACATTCGGTCACCGAGGCCTTGCGCGCCCGTAGGGTCCGCTGGGTCTGGCAGCGTGACGAACGACACCCTGACGGACGCGCTGCCCTGGCTGTTAGTGTAGCCGACCCGGTTCGGTCTCGAGTACTCCGACAGAGTCATCAGCTTGTACGTGCCCTCCCGCGTGACGAATTGTGTTTTCAGGTCCTCCTTCCCTCCTCCGTCCAACTGCACAGCCATCTTACCACCAGCAGCGGCGCGACGGAGGAGCTCATCAGACACGGGAGAATCGTTCGTAGGCCGCGATCTTTCCTAGCCCACCGCCGCCGATGTACCCACTGATAGCGCGCTGTTAGCCCGACCGTTCGTTCGACCGACCAACCGACCGACCGACTGTCTGTCTGTCCGCCTGCCTGCCCGATCGCCGTTCGCCTCTCTCGCCAGTCTCGCGTGCGACTCCCTTCGCTCCTATTGCCCGTGCGGCAGGCGGGCAGCGCTTGACGCGCGCGAACCAGGAAGGCGGGCTCCGTCGGCCGCCGGCTTCCTACGGCCACGATCGTCGTGGCCACCGGACCCGTACGAAAAACCGCCGAACGTCGAGTACTGTCTTTTGCGACTCGCCGCCGGCTGCTTGGCTGGGCTGACTCCCCCTTCTCTCTCTTTCACTCGCTCTCGCTCTCTTTCTCTCCCTTCCTCCCCTCTCTTCCCCCTCTCTCTCTCTTTCACACACCGCTCCGTAGTGCGAGAGCACGGTGAGAAGCACCTGAAGTACTATAATGAAACTGCCTGCGTGTGGTGTGCGTTTACCGAGCGGCGGCAGCTCGCGCTGTCAAGATCGCATCGAGATCGCTGGCGCCCCACGCGATCAAGGCGTCGCTACGTTTTTTTAACATTAACTATTCACCCCGACGGGATTGATTTTTTCACTTTATTTTCGCCCATCTGTCCCCCACGGAGCGTTCGTACATTCGGGGAACGTTCACGGGAACTTTACACGGACGCTCGTTGACGGTACCGATGGCAAATAATTGCGAAGTTGTGCCTCTGGGAGAGAGTCGTTCGCTCTGGTTCATTCCTCTTCGAGCTTTCGGCTGGAGAACGATGAAGCAAAAAATGTTGGAAAATTTTCACTGCGATATTCAACGTGTGTTCTCCAGGCATTTGCCTTCGTACGGCACTGGCGGCCGCGGCTTCGCCGACGCGCGCAGTCGACCGTCCGTCTCGATATAGCGACCCGCGAGCTTCGTCGGAGACCGGATATTTTGTAAACAACCGAGCAAAGGGTCAATTAATTTCAACCGCTCTTTCCTGCTTCCCGTGCGCGCCCCTTTCCTTCCGCGTTGCCTTCGACGTTCCCCGCTCGATCATCGCTCCGGACTCACCTTCTAAATAAATTGCCGAGCGAGTTTTTCTCGCTCGCCTCCATTTTCCTGCCTCTCTCTCGAGAAGGCGACCACAGTCATTTTTACATCGCGTTTTACGATCTTGGGTGAATAGGAGATCACAACGAAAATATAGCTTGCGTAATATAAGAATTGCGAGGCAGACAATCGGTAGAACGTTGTAATTAATTTTGTTAACGTTAATTAAGTCCAACTGTATTACAGTTGTTACCGTTACTGTCGTTTCGTGTGTTTCATCCTGCGTACTTGGAGGATCACGCGATTTTTCATAAATATAAACGCGAATGGTAATCGGACTCTCATGCGCCCGACACGCACTCTATCGAGCGATAGATCGATGTATGCACATCGATATATATCGATATCGAAGGATGTATTTCGAGAATCTCGATCGCCGCCATATGTAAATCAGTCGCGGGACGAAGTATGGCGCGCGAGATGGTTTCGCGAAGTAGTCCCGTATATTTCGCGACATCGCCTCACCGAACGTGAGTTTCGCGTGAATTCCGCTCTCGAATGACCATGCCGGGGTTGCCGCAAGTAAGTATCGCGTGTTCGGGCAGTTTCGCGCGTGTGTATAAGTTAAACGGCCACCGAAGGTGAACTCGCCAAAGTATCTCGCAAGGCGGTTAACCGGCAGTATCGAGTGAAGTTCGCGGCGTGTCCTGTAATTTCGAGTATCTCAACCGCTGCGGTTTCAGTCGATCGAAAGTACGGTATAACAGTCGATGAAACGTACGGTATAACAGTTCGGCTTTGAAAAATTGTTTCTCGCGATTTGACTTGCCAGGAGTGCCGAAAGTGAGTTTCGCGCGGGTATTACGACGAAGCATCATTGGACAGTCGCGGAGAGTGAATATCTCGCGGATTGGGCAGTCAGCAGCGTCGAGAGTGAATTGCCGTGCATCCTCCACTTTTCACTCGCCGAGAGAAAAGTCGGTAAGTCGATAGATGACAATAAATAATGCGATAGATAATGCAATGCTTCCTAGACAGCATAATGTCTAAAATCGGAATGTAAGACGTCTTTAAGATGTCATAAAAGACTCTTATAACACGTCTTAGAGACGTCCTAAAGATGTCTTTAAAATGTCTTATGTCCCGATTTTGGATATTATAGTGGATTATCCGGATTTTACGTTTCGAACCGTACGCCCCGATCATGGCTTTCTGTATATGAAACGACTGATTTCTCCGAAATATTTTCGGGCAAAGAGCATTTCCCGAAATTAAGAGTTACGGTAAAACCAGATTAGTCTATGGATTTGAGATCAATTTCAGAAATTGTTTTCTGCAATATATTGATAACGATACCTAATATTTCGAATGAATTCTCGTATCAGGCGACAATCGAAAATAGTGGTAACTAGATTTGTTTTTTTTTCACCTGCGATTTTGTACTCTCGTGCTACTCGCGCGTGCGTTCAGCGCGACAGATTAGAGTGTGTGGAGAAATAAAACTATTCCAAACCTAACCAAACAATTCCGCATGGTTCAACGCGACATAACCTTGTCCTGCTTGAGAACGATGCACGTGTAAAAGCGAAATAGTGTTACTCGAAGAGAAAGATACGTAATTTATGTAAATACGTAAAGACGTAAATAAAAACTCAACTTGAAAGGAAGAGAACAAGTGACGGAAAAATAGTGATATCGTATTTCGAAGGATATATTCATTGAGAGAAGGAAAAGACATCGAATGTGAAAACTAATAGAAGCATGCGGTTGATCGTCTGCCAAGCAAACTCCAACTTGATGGGCTGATAAAACGTAAGCCTAAGAGTTGAAAGTTTAATCTGAAAATCTAATAATAAATCTGTATTATCATCCAACCAACAATTCTAATTATTTTAGTCGCATAAGCGGTACATCGTCGATTTGGTAACAGCGTTCTTTGTACAGACTGGATTAATTAAATCGTTTCAATGGCACCAGGAAAGCGTCCGGTTGGTAAAAGAAAATTCGATGGACGCAACAAACGTCTGCCAAAACCGAAGAAGGAAAAATTTGATTTTAGAACAGCGTCTTACATCAAAGAACGCGAGGAGAGAAACAAGGAGCTTGAAGCTCGCAGGCAAATAGCAGACCAGGAGGCAGCAAGAGCACGTCTCTCACAGATCACGGAATATGACAGTTCCGAAGAAGACCCTATAGAAGATTTGTTAGCAACATTTCCAGATTATAAAGAGCCGCAGGCAATTAGTTCAGAAAGTGAGAGTTCTGATGAACCAACTGATATACAGGATGAAGTTGAGAGTAATACAGAAGAAGAAGAGGTTAACGAAGAATCTGGAACAAACAGTGAAGAATCTCCCCAAGGTCAGAGAATAAAAAGATCAAAAAGAAGAGAACAGGAAGAAAATGAGGAAGAAAGCAAAGAGATCGAGGTCCAAGTGAAAGAAGATGATGAAGAGGATATCGAGACTGCTCAGGAAGACGCTGGTCAATTAAGAGATCCATTTTCTATACATTTGCGCAATGATATGGACGATAAACTTTACAATACAGTTAGCACAACACCGCAGACTATAGAAAAGACAAAGTTGTCGTGGCCCACACTTGGAAATCTGATATGTGAAATTCCGAAACCTAATCTGGATAATGAGAATAAGGAGGGTGGGACCAAACTTCTGGATGAAGATAAAAAATATGCAAGCTACGGCAAAATTCCATGTTTGATCAAAGTCGTCGACTGGGACAAATTGCATGTAAAATCGCAGATTCAGAATAATCTTGCTAAAGCTAATCGCGTAAAAGGAGACGCCAAGGACAACGCTGAAATTAATCCTTCATCTTTGACCCCTCTTCAGCGAGAATTATTTTCGATAATAAATAATTATCAAGATTTATATTATCCAGAGAGAAACTTCTCAAATGCCAATCAGATACGATTCGTGTATTGTCTACATGCGATCAATCACGTGTTAAAGACTAGAACAAAGATATTGCATCATAACACGAAGATAGCAAAATCTGATGGGTCAGTCCCGGACGAATACAGAGATCAGGGTGTAGTGAGGCCTAAGGTGCTCATGATAGTGCCATTTAGGCATTCTTGCTTGAAGATAGTCGAGATGTTAATCTCAATTTTAATCGGAGAGGTCAAAGGTGGCTCCGTCATGAACAAGCTACGATTTATGGAGGATTTTACCGGGAACGATTTGGCGATGCCCAAGAAAAATCCTAAGCCGAATGATTATGAGCTGACCTTCCAGGGTAACATTGACGACAAGTTCAAGATAGGTATAGCCATCACCAAAAAGACGCTCAAATTATACAGCAAGTTCTATTCTTCGGACATTATAATCGCCTCGCCATTGGGTCTCAGACAATTGATAGGCGTGGAAGGCGAGGCGGAGAGAGACTACGATTTTCTGGCGTCCGTAGAGGTATTGATTATGGACCAGATCGATCTGATCACCATGCAGAACTGGGATCACTTGCACCACGTCTTGAAGCATCTGAATCTGCAGCCCAAGCAGATGCACGACACGGACATTTTTCGCCTGAGAAGCTGGTGCGTGAACGGCTGGACCAAGTACTACAGGCAGACGTTGATCTTCTCCGCTATGGAGTTGGCGCACATAGACGGGGCGTTGAAGAAGACTTGCTTCAACTACGCTGGTAGAGTAAGAGTCGCGAATCCGGTGGAGCCAGGCTCGATTTGCGACGTGGACATCACGGTTCAGCAGGAATTCCACAAGTTCGACGCGTCCGATCGTGTGCAGGCTATCAACGGCAGAATGGAGTTCTTCTTGAAGAAGGTGCTGCCACAATACAAGGATGCCGTGTACAAGAATCACACGTTAATCTTTGTGCCGTCCTATTACGACTTCGTGTCGTTGCGCTACCACATGATGAAGGAGGAACTGAGCTTTACGCAGATATGCGAATACACGGAGGACGCGAAAGTTGCCAAAGCGAGGGACATGTTCTTCCACGGTGACGTGCACTTCCTTCTTTACACGGAACGCTTTCACTTTCACCGCAGGCTTAAGATAAAGGGTATCCGGCATATCATATTCTATCAACTGCCCATTTTCCCGCAATTCTACAGCGAGATATGTAATCTGATGTCGGTGGATTATCAGAAGCTTCGTGGCGTCTATCATTACAACACGTCGGTAGCCGTTATATACAACAAGTTTGATTGCTATGAACTTATTAGAGTTGTGGGTGAGAAAAGGGCAGTTAAAATGATCAATTCGGAATTGAATTATTATAAGCTCACGTGCTCCCAACGATGATAAATATAAGTGTTTAGGTGAAAATAAAAAAAAATACTCGTTCTGACATTCAACTTTCATTCGTATGGATTTCCCCATCGGTTCAGGGAATCAATGTTCTTCTCTTTATATAAAAACAATTTGTTTTGAATTTTAAAAAGATAATATGGATTTCAGGTGCTCCAAGTAGAAAAACAGCTAAGGAGTGAGATATTTAGATTTTTTAAATTAAATATCTGTAAATGAATGTACGTTATATACTTGTAGCAATTTTGATTTTATTCCTCCATCTAATAAGAAATATTTATAATTTATAAATGTCACAACGTAAAATTCTTTAAAAACAGAATACTTTGATACACGCGAGTCACACGCTGAAGATACATGTATATAAGACATCAGGCGAATTTTAATTGTGTTACAGTAAATGTCTCTTTGTTACTCTGTTAAAAGTACTATGCATGTGACATGTTCTATTGTAACACTAATTATAAAAACATATGCGAACACTCTCAACTTAGATATCAACGAAGTGATAAACGTAACAGATTCTACGTTCTAAGTGAAGAGTTACACACAAAATGTCTATAATTTCTAAATTATCACACGAAAAAACACGAAATTAATTTTTACATCGACTTGTAACAGAAACAGCTTTTATTTGCGACGAGCACGCGTTTTGCTTTTTAGTTCTACTATTAATGTTGATTTTATCCATCTTATATACTGTTGAAAGATTAGAAATATTTTCCATATAATATTACGAGTTCATACATTATTCAAGTGTATTTAGATTATACTCGTCTCAGAGATTAGGCCTAAGTTCTATAAAATTTCTCTCTTCGTTTAAGGAAATTATCGATAGTTGTAAATTGGAAGAATCTCTTCCCTATAAACGACTATATTAGTAAATATCAGTGCTCTATCGGAGATTATTAGTTTAATTTCCCATCAGTTTTTCACGCTCGACACAAAGTGGAAAGTCTGATTTGGTTACGTGATGCTCTCGTCGTCGTCGTTCACGATGCTAGTGAAATTGTTGCGATAATCCTGCGCCGTTGACATCGACGTGAATTCGACTAATGTTTCCTCGATGTCCGTATTTTCCGTCAAGATTTCCCAAAGTCCTTTCTGTCGTTGCGTGGTCGATAAATCCAGCTCCTCCAACTGTTTATTATCTATTGTCGTGGATCTAGCCGTCATCTTTTCTATCTGTGTTTCTGTAAAGAAGAATAACATTGAATTATTAGTTGAATGTTAACGAAGTTTACAAAGTTATCGATAATACAACGATAGCCTTTTAGATTATATTACAAAAATTATACTTGATTTCAATGTTCATATTTTTCCAAACTTTTACATCGAATTTTGTATGTGTGTGTGTGTGTAAAATTGCGACATTTTACAGAGATCGATATCGTGCATTGCACTCGGTATTTTCTTTATGCAATTTTTATCACTATGAATTTCTCATAATTTTCGACTCGTGTGGGACATAAAATACAATTCTTTTGCAGTATAGCGCTCTATACGGCAATAAATTTTGTGTTACTTTAACATGGAGAAATGTGTTAAAAAGTATACAAATAAAATGTTTAAATATTTGCATACTTTTTAACACATTTCCCACGTTAAAGTAACATAAAATTTCACTGGACTGTTTTTAATATAACACTTTTTACTGAGTTGAGCTCCACACGGGGATGTTGAACTTTGGAATTGATTTTCGAGTAGTAAACTATAAATGTAGCGGCAATACGGCAAATTATAATTAGGTCGTCGGCATCTTTCCGATGGAACGTTGATCGCGCCGTTACCGTTAGAGATCGGGGGCGTCGTGAGCGAGTCGGGAGGTTTAGCGCACTCCGGCTTGTCGAGCCTCATCATTCTGACCGACTGGTCCTTAGGGTTCCAGACGAAGGTGTAATACAGGGAGAGCAGTATCGCTGCCATGCTGACGAATATGACGTAAGCGACCACCGTTAGCACTCGCACCACCTTCTGCTTGTGCTTCGTCTCGTAGAGCTTGTCCTTGCGCTCGTCGCCGGCGAAGCGAACCTCGTTGGCTGCGGCCGGCTTATTTTCGCGATTACCCAGGCTCCGACTGATGCTCGCCATTACGTTGTGCGCGCTCATCTTCCGCGGCAGCTGCATCCTCGGCGCGAGGTCACGTTTCACACGGCCCGATCGGCGAGACGGTCATCGTTCCGCAGACGGATTTCGAAAATGATTCCTCGAGCGGAGAACCGGGCTTTGGGAGAAGGATCGTACAGCAGGGTTTCGTTCGATGCTGAAAAGCAAAGCGGTCCACGTTGGTGATGGTGCCCGAGAACACTTGAATCGTCCAGCTTGCGAGAGTCGTAGATATTTTTATTTCTTTCGCAAGGTTCCCGCTCGTTTCTAGTCTATCTACGAAGTTGAGCGTCCGTTCATTTGGACGAAAGGGACGGACTTATTTTCACATTTGAGCTTTAGACACACGATTTACACGTCGTTCCGAATCTTTGATTAAACATCTTTCACGTGAGTGCACAAATCGGTCTTATTGCCTCGACGTAAATTAGCGCGAGCTAATTTTAGCCCCGAATTTGTAGCCGTGTGCTGAAATCGTAACGCGGAAATTAATATTTTAACTTTAAAGCGAATCACACTTTAGCATTGCATTTATTGCTAGCGAAGCGCACGCATATATACATACACATGCACATCCACACACACACACACACACACACTCTCTCTTTCTCTCTCTCTCTCTGTCTCTCTCAGTCTTTTCCAGCATTAGAATTCGTCCGCGTCGGTCCTCGCACTTTTAAACTCTGATGTGGGGATCCTTGCCGTTTGAATGCCGCCTGAACACCGTCGCGAGAGATGTTTCGAAGACGCGACAGGGCGTGTCGCCCTGAGACGCGAGCTTCATCCACGGGCTGCAGAATGCGCAGAGGAAGCTGGCTCGGACGATGCAACAATCGATAGATATCTTCCTCTCCTTCTCTCTCTCTTTCTCTCCCTCTTTCTCTTTTGACTCTTTCCTCTTTTCCACACAACTAACACGCACGTTTCTCCGGCTATTTCTGCATGCCGGTTCTCCCGTATCGCGCGCTGACGCGGCTGCAAAAAACACAGCCGCCTCGGGTGCGCGATAGAACGTTCAATGCGCAAGCTCTAGAACCTTGACCCGTCCAGCTTCTCGCCTTCATCGCGTTAAAGGGACTAATAAACTCAAAGGTATACGCGAGGTCGTTATACTTACGTGGAGATCGTGCCTATATTTTGCATAATTTTACTTGTTCACATCACCACATTGTTTATATTTTAAAAGAGAGAGATACATAGGGTATTCTAGCATAAAGAGAACATTTAATCTCTTTTCTTTTTAATAATATGAGAAATGTTTAGAGCACAATTTAAATGGTTTCGAAAGAGGAATATCGTGGAAGGAGAATTTTTTTTACGGTCATTTTTTCGACTTTTTTTTAAGCCCCTAAGGTATTTAGATATCCTCCTTATGCTGGGACACTCTATATATATTACGATCTATATATATTACGAATATATATTTTAGAGGATGAGAACATGAGGGAAGGCTGTTAATAAAAATGTAAAGAGGGTAGTCAAAGAAGACACGTCTCGTAGATCGGTCATTGGTAAACTTTCGTCGCAAACGGGACCATCAAATCGAAATTCTGACGCTCGGCGGAGTGCTTATCACACGTCTCGCGTCCGGGTCTGCAGATTTTCCTCTTCTACTTTTTCTTCAAGGAATAGTAACGCAGAGGGAGCATATAGATTTGGTATGACTGCATCATGCATAAAAGAATTCTCTTTCTAAGGTCTGCTGATCAAAGAAACGTTTCGAAGGTATGAATGTAAATTGGGGAAGCTGGGTGGAATATTTGAGCGGAAGGATATATAGCGTAGACTCTCTCGCGCGCGCGAAATGGGATTAAGCGTAACGAGACTCGAATGGAGGGTAAGGCGGACTGCTAAGCAATTTCGTTTCGAGAATGGATGGACTTGTCGCAGCCTCGTCACTTTACCCGTCCTATAAAAGAAGGCGCGCCTTTGTTTTAGTAGCAAACGTAGCCCCTCGATCTTTTCTTCGGCAAACAAGACACACTGTTCGATCGGAAGACGTGCCCTCAGTATAAGTTTCGTATAACTAAGAGAATACAGTGGGGTGAATCTTCAGAACGTCTAAAGGCTTTGGGGAATTACTCTCGGACTCCGTCGTGACTTCGTACAGTTCGATTTCTCGCGACGAAAAGTCGGACGAAAGCGGCGTCTCGCTTCCCACGCAATAGTATTTTCCCGATAAGTGCACGATATAACATATCGAGAAGTAATAATAATATTGAAAAGTTATCGGATCTTGGGTGTGATGTAACGCGAAGGAAGCCGTAATAGATCGACTTGACCCTGTTTCGCTTATTACAACGAACAGCGCGGATAATCATCGCGCGTCCATCGGATCCATCGACTTATTTCTAAGGCTTTAATCATTGCTCTCCATCGCGACCGTTGAGAATGCTTCTTTATTTCTCTGGCTGTGAAGAGCAGACATAGATATTCTCTCGATCGAAGACGTTATGTTATCGAATGAAAACGAAAATCTGTTTCCTGCTCTCGATCGAGTCGACAGAGGCGGATCCGTTAGATCCGGGAAAGATTAACTGCGCATAAATCCGGGAATCTCACACAAAGGGAACAATCGAAACTATTTGTTGGATCCGCGTATTTGTTTAGACGATGCCTCGGCCGTCTCCGTGAAGAAAACGTCGAGCCGCACTTTGATGAAAATAACGAAAGGATAAACTCCGGCAGATGTTCCGGGGAACGGATTGACGCGAGATCTGACGCCCGGTCTCGAGTTTCAAACCCGGCCTCGTTCACGGGGAAGGTGCCAAAAGAATAATTTAAATTTCCATTTCCCTCGATATCGAGATTCACAATAATAACAACCTCATAATATAAATCCTCGTCGTCGATCGGCCCAACGGGAGTGAACGGGTCTCTTTGCCTGGCGGACTCGACGGACTCGGTGATTCGCAATCTAGAAATGGTAGCGCGCGAGCGATGCCGAGGGAAAAACGCGAATGACGTGGTGCCAATTGTATAATCACACAGGCACGGCTCGCAGTCATGCGTTGGCATATAAACGCGCGGGGCTGGAACGGAAATTCGCGCGGATTCCCTCACCTTCGGAATTTCTTCGGTATTTCGCGGCATACGTCGCTTTTACGGCCAAGTCGTCTGGCGGTTGATGGGGCCTCGGATCATCGTCGAATCTCGACTTCCCCGACGAGTCGGTCGATACTCTATCACGCGCGATGCTTTCGCTCTTGCAACATTCGTCATTGCTGGAACAATTTCGCCCGGAGCAATTAACACTGTTGCTCGCAGACGGAGAACGACTTGTCTGGCTGTTCGGGTGTTCCTCCGAAGCAACGTCTACGTCTCTCGGCTCGTTAGAATCATCTTTTTCTTCTCGATCGTTGTCGATCATTTGGCTACCGGCGGAATTTTTCCCTCGCTCCGTCCACCGATCTTCGCCATCTTCACTATCTCGTCGCATCGTAGAGTCTCGGCTGCTTCGCGAGTCCCTGGATTCGTTTACTACAACGGTATACGGTCCAGCGAGGTGGGTCTTCTCTAGAGAATTCCGAATCTCGCTTAGGACAGTCGAATTTTCGTCACGATCGGCGGGTCTCCCGCCGAAACGTCGAGTCTGCTTCGGTTCGTCGGCAGAAACAGTCAGGGATTTCGACGCCGAGGACTCTCCGACGAACAGCGTGCTCAAGAAGTTCGTCAATTTTTCGTACAGACCGGTACCGTTGTCGATTCGAGTCTTCCCCACGGGAACGCTTCCGCGCGACGTTTCGTCCGAGCTCGAATTCTCCGTCGAATGAAGCACCTTCTCTGTCGCTTTCGCTGCGAGGAAAGAATCGCCGTGTTCGTTCGGGGAAGTTACTTCGTGCGACAAGCGAGTCGTCCGATTCTGTCGCCGGGTCTCTCGCATGGTTTCCATGAGCGAGTACTTCAGCTTCAGCAGCATTGCGTTCAGCCTTCCCTGCCGAGGCATCGCGAGACCACCCGAGATCTCGTCGGGGTCGCTGTCGTGCGAATCGTGCGCGATGCGACCCAGGAAAGGCCTGCTCTTGTACGTGCGATTGAGCACGTTCTCCAGTAGGAGGTCCGTTTCCTCCAAGTACGGCTCAGCGGTCAGGAGCTGCACCTGCGGCTCCGTTCGCGGACGTTCTCGCTCGATGAGTCCCGGGTTCGGCGGTTCCCACAGGAATATGTAGTAGGCGCTCAACAGGATGCCCACGAAACTCACGGAGAACAGATAGGCCATCACGGTGACCACGCGGATGATTTTCTTGGAACCGCGATTCTCGTAGATGTCCGCGTTCGGATCTTTCTGCGGCACCTCCAACGCAGAGGCGGCATCCTGCGGCTCGACTTCACCGCTGCTCTCCTCCTCCTTGCTCATCGTATAATCTTCGAGTACAATTCACCTCTTCGGTGAGGTCAGTGCGAAGATCATGAACATTTCTCGATGATCGCTCTCGACTCCGCGTTCTCTCGCATACCGAAGGAGATACGTGTCCTTCCCTTGGCTCTCGTCGGCGGACGCACGAACGATGCGGGTTTCCCCGGGCGAATTTCTCAACGGCGATTTAACGGCCGTTTTCCCTGACTGCCATTCGGTGTTGGCATTTGAGCTCTTAGAGGAGAGAAGGCGAATTTGTTATCTACTGGTTTGCTTGATCGTTCTCCATTTTTCTTGCAACATCCGACTCGTATTTTTTAACGGCTTGTCAGTTTGTTGTCGCGAGCACCCACGCGAGGTGCGGAAAAGAGGCGGTTGACCGGCCGGTCGGGGGGGAAACGTTCCGGTAGCGATAACACGCGAGACTGCAAGCTCCTTGATGGCGCGCCGCGGACAAACTCGGCCGCGATTCACCACGTGTTTATTCGCGCGCAAGCGTCCTCGCGAGCCGGCCGCCACATGGCTCGCGCTTGTGTTTCCAGCTGTGTGCCTATGACAGTCTGTCCGCGTTAGCCGAAAAGTGTCCCCGCGTTCTTCTTTGAGCAACCTCGTACAAGATTCTCCATCCACACGCCTCGATAAGTCGACCCACCGCCGTAACCGCTTTTCTAAGGTAACAACGAGGAGACCTCTGCATCTCTCATCCGTGCGTGCAGCACATCGCATGCGCACACATATCTTACTATTACCGTCTGACGGAGAGAAGCCGTAAATGAGCGATGTCTTTAGTTCATGGGCTCTAATGAATTTATACAATTCATATTTTACATGGTAAAAAATTTTATATTAAAGACGGTCCATTGAAATTTGACATTGACATGGTAAATGTTCTAATCACTACACAAATATAATGTTAAATTAACACATTCACCTCAAGAGTTGTCAACATATATTAAATATGTCTCAAAGTAAAACAGAATTTCAGTGGACGTTTTTAACACAAAATTTTTCACTGTGTATTTTCACATAATGGAATCCTAAACAACATAATGTCTAAAATCTAGACATGAGACGTGCTTAAGACGTTGGAATGTAAAAGATGTCGCAAAAACATTTTATATCCTGACTTTGGACATTTGTGTTACCTGAGATGTGATCTTTATTACTTCTTGACGATTTCTTTTCTCTTTTTACAATTACTTTTTGCTTTTGGAAATAAACGTGAGTATTATCGCAGGAAAGAAAATTATACAATTAATACATTTTTTATTTTTCTTTTGATTTTTGCGAGAACCTTTGCCTTGAACAAAAAAATTTTTATGGACAAATGTAAACAAACGAATTGCGTGTGAATTTGATAAATATTCGCATTTCGGAGTGCTATTTTCGTAGATCTCGAAAATGACCAAAGCTTATGTTGACTCGTAAAATCATGGGTTGATAACAGAGAAGACAGAGAAGATCGAGGTTAATGATTTTTCTTGCTTCGACTTTTCCACGCGGAACGTAACCACAGACGAAAGAAAAGCAAGTTCAGACGTGTAATAACACTCATTATGTCGGAATACCAATAAACGATCGATGATCATACAGTGGCCTTTTTACGACGCCGGACTAAGGAACGAAAACGCGCAATATCGAGATTTATATCGCAACCACGCGAAACATCACTCCGTTGCTTCCGGTGTATATTTTCGCTACGGCGCGCTGATTAATGCTCGTGCATACACAGAAACGTGGTATGCGCTACGAGCGACCTATGGAACAGTGAAACCGCCTCATTATCATTCGGTTCTCCAAATTTTTTCCGCTCGGTCATGCAGTCGTGCATGTTGTTAAAGCTTGGGGCGATTTTCAAACAAAAAAATACAAAATTTTTTCAAGTTTAACTCCGGTAAAAAAACAAAAATATGCAAAAACCAGCAAAATTGTGCAAAATGTGTCAATCTCATCATAAATAAACAAGAAAGACGGAAAAGATTACGCGAGCGCGAACGTTCACAAAAATTAAAATTCTGTCCTGCTGACAGTTCTGGTGGCCTGTGTGCAAACCAACAGTAATTTTACACTCTGTAAAACTCACACGTGGAATTACACATTAGAAAAAAAAAAAATAGATTGTTGAAAACGAATGTTCGGAAGGTCCCCATAATGGGCAAAGTTCAGCGAGTGAATTTCACCACAAAGATGAAAACTTCTCCCAATGATCTTAACATTCTGTGCAGGCAAAGAATAATACATTTGTACTTTAACAAATGTGCCAGATTAGAAACAAGGAATAGTTAGTTAATCATTAGAGCCTGGGAGCCCATTGCAAAGACTGAGCGCTCGTGAATATTCCATCAAATTAAACCGGGATTCTCGACGGTATCAACTGCTGTATTTCGCTGACCTACACAGAATTATTTATCTTCTGGTTATTGACGGACGACAAATTACGTAGTTACAGAATGCTGCTGACATTTCCGCCAGTTAATCGTCGATTAAATTAATCAGAGCTTATGGGAAAGGCACCCTGAACTGTTGCCTGGAACTCTCCCTTAGCATCTCGGTCGAGTGAGCGTTTAGCATCCGACTGATGCTCATTTCTACCGTTATAATTGAAATCTAATTGACGATTAACTCAACGAAATTGACCAATCGCATTATCCAATTAGCTGATCAATGGTCGATTGGTCGATTCTGTTAAGTTAATCGTCGATTAAATTTAAATCATGATGCAGAAAAACGAGCATGAGTGTCACTGTTTGAATGAATGACGCTGACCAACGTCAGTTGCTTCGGGCATTGCGTAAGCACACGCCAGTGCGATTCACTCGCGTCAATTTGATTCGGGCGGTGGCGAGTATATCGTTTATTTCGCGCTTCTAATGCGGCTGGGATCAGGGTGACGCGAAATCCTGTGGCATGGTCAGTCTTGTACGGACATCGAGCACTTCTGGGAGCGTGAGTATGTACACGTGTCGTATATCGCGATCGATATAGCGTGCAGTGCGCGCGATGTGTGTGTGTTTGCCGAACGTCGTCAGCCGTTAGCCGTTTCGACGTCGAACGTAAACATAACATAACCTGACATAACCTCGTCTCGCGAGGTTGCTACGTCGTTTCTAATTCGTCTCAGGTCGTTTCGTGTTGATTAATAACAAGTCCCTCTTCATCACGAATTCGATGTTGTAATCACGGCACGAGGACAGAGAAAGAAAGCCCGTTGATCAAGGTTAGCGGCGAACTGCGTTTCGACTACAAATTTTCCTGCGTTATCGTTGATATACGCTGACTGCGTAGAAAAATGTATCGTAAATACATGTAAATTATATTTTTACTTGTGTGGGTCTTCCTCATTGGCGCGCTGCTACGTCGTAGAGTATATTAGTGAAAAAAGAATGTTTATATTATCATCATTGAGTTAATATCTTCTCAGACAGAAGAAAGTCAAATTTCTTTCTGCTGTGTATATAATTTTTTTGCCTTTGACATTTCTTGGATCGTTTTCTCGTCACATCGTCATTCTGTAGCTGATTTGTATGCGATTTTACCTGTGTTCCTAAGTGTTAGGTCAGGTTTAACTAGGCGTCTCTATATCAGGGAGCTGTATTTTTTGACGCACCCCTTAACATGGACGACGAGGAGTGTTTTCAGCCAATTTTGACCTCTCAGGAGGAGGATAATTTTCAGCCATTAAAAACCGTGCCAGTCGCATCGATTCCACTTTTCCTCGGAGTAGGTATACTTAGTTTTGCTGTTACATTAAAGGCCAGAGATTGGATGTATTGAAACCATGGAACTTTTGTGTCGTAGGTCTCTTTGGGAATCACTGGAATTGTCTTTGTGTCCCTTTGGCCAGAAGAACAGGACAAGTGTGACACATATTTCATATATCTGTATCTTCATTGTATCTATTGGCTGATAGTAATGGTATCAGACCATGTCCTTAAGATGAGGCATCACAAATTACGCATTAACGGTTACTTAGACTTTTATCAAGCAACATATCAACAAATAAGGACGCCCTTGTTCATCACGTCGTTGTGGAATACGTGCTACTTGCTCTTAGCCGTGATTCTACACCATACACACAAAGTCGACTACGAGGAGTATTGTAGAGCATCGGAGTGGTTAACTCCACTTAACTACATTTTTCTGCTAACTACTGTGGAACTCGTGATAATTGTGCCAGTTTACATTAACTATATCAGTAAGTACGTTGTAAAGAAAGGTCCCCAATTTATCCAGAGAGAACATCCCTTGGAAAAAATCTTGATTTCTTATTGCTGTGAACAGCTTTGAATTGATCGAACGAGTTATGATTTCACTCAAGGGAAGGAAATTTTTATCAATATTGAGAGAATCTTGAAAATAATTGCGAAGCATACCAGTCGTGCTTTACCGAAATACTTTTTCAATATTTTGATTGTAAGAAAAGTTTTCAGTGTACACGTCTTTTAATCAATAACTGATCTTCCTGCTAACATACTGGACATTTTGAAATTCACCTCGTTGTGTTAATCGCTAATTGTTTACATTATTATTGTGATTTGTTGTGTGTGTATATATATATATACATATATATTTGGTATCGCGTTTGTTTCTCGAATAGAGAGGGTTATGAAATTTAATCGATTACGTCCACCGGCCGATGTCAGTCGCGAGGAATGGCTATCGTCCTTCACTCGGGATTCCTATGCTGGAAGTAGCGAGATTGGTTATCATCCGAGAGGGTCGAATTTGGAAGAACTGCTAGAAAAGCAGGCGGATTTGATCAGATATCTGAGGGATCATAACGTACAGTTAAGTCATAGAATAATGTTGCTAGTGTCTCAACGCAGAGAGACTGAGCCGTGAAATATAATAAATATTGATCTTATTACATATCCTTCTTACAAATTGACAAGACACTTAAATTAATTGTTGTTAATCGTTACCGTAATCTTGGTCGAAGCTTTGCCAAAAATGTCATTCTTTAACAGTCACACGCGACACATCTGGAGTTGGAACGAAATTCTTTTTGATATAATTTTGTGTATGAATCAAACATATGATTAATAATATATATTAATAATTTATTAATAATATAATTATTAATACATATTAATAATAATATTTTATTATTAATATATGCATATTAATTATTATCAGTAGTATATATACATATGTAATGAATAATATTTTATATCATATAATTTTACTTTAAATATTACATTTATACACATTTAATCTTCGCAATACTGACGGTTTCGACAATATCTCAGACTACTGTTGGGTCAGTTCAAACTTAGACCTGTTAGGCGAAGTTTCAAGTATTTCAAGTTTCTGCGTTCTCTCGTCTTCTATAATTCAGCGATTATTGCTTCCTTAACATTAACTGAGTATCAGATGAATTGTATACTTTTACTTACGTATGTTTGTGTCGCGACGTATTTCAAACAAGTCATCTGCTTTCTCATCATGTAAAAGATGTTGCTTCGTCCTCTTAGAATAATTTATCTGTATCTGTAGACGTTATCTCGTAAATATATTAGATTCGACGAGTTACCGATGCAATTGGTTTTGCATAATAGCCACCGTATGAACACGGTTGTTCACGCAATTGCATACGAACACGACATATGCCAAATATAATATTCCCTTAAAGGAGTAAATTTATCTTAAAACACGTGTTTGTTAATATTGTCACGTTAATCTTGCGCGCTTGAGGGGAAAATCAAAAGTGGTTACTGTGATAGAAAATGTAATTATATGCTCATTGTCAACTCAATAAAATATATGTATATTTTTTTCCAGTAGCAACCGTCGTTTTACATACATTATTATCTCACTTATATCACGAGCCTATATATAAATAATTAGTCAAGCAGCGGTTCTTTTTAAAACTCAACAGCGTGTTTAGTATCTCACAGAGTATGCACGATGATACACATCCAAAATTTACATATAAATCTCTGTCGTTCTCTCTTTCTCTCTCTCCCTCTCGCTCGTTCGCTCGCTCGTTCGTTCGCTCTCTCGGTTATGTCAATTCGGCGTGATATAATATTACACTGCATCTTGTCGAGTTTTAAAGTGGCCACATTTGCCATTGCAACGGTAGAAAGCAGAACCGACAAAATCGCGGTCACGAATCGCGCTCCTTTTGCTCGCGACGTTCGCGACGAAATAAAAATCTCGCGTATTTTCTCAACATTTCATTACAAACGTGGTAAATGTATATCATGTACAGCCGCCTTCTAACACGTAATCGTACGAATAATAATAATAATAGTAAAAACTACAATACGGTGACGATACACGTACGTAGGTAGCTTCTTTAACGTAATAGTAATGCTCTTAGAAATCTCGCAGGCGCACGCTCACGCAAAAGCAATGCCAATTTTTTCTTCCTCGCGCTCGTTCATCGCGTGCTTAGATCCGAGCGATCTTCCCAAGTGCGTCGGCGAAATTATTGCCTTGCAGATTCACCCCCTCCCCTTCCGCGAAATTTCCTCCGAAGCATCTTACGTTTCTGAGCAGCTAAATTCGGTCTATTCCTTACGTATTCTAGCGCCCTCCTCGTTGTTTGCATGACGCGCCAGTCGACGATATTTCTTGAGTGTATTTTGACAAATCAGAAGCTGCCGCACGAATCTTCAAACGTATTTCGTATACGTCAAGTTTACAAAGAGCAACGCGGACAATTGTCGTCTCAGTCGATTATCGCGGTACGGACGTCATCGTGCGCGCCTTATCGTTTGACGTGTGTGACGTTTTACGAATTAATCAAAGCGATAAAGATACCGCCCAATTGGCGCGCGCGAGCGAGTCCAATTGGCCCGTAGACGTAGACTGGCGCGCTGTGTAACAATAGACACCTCTACGCTAGGGCTGTATTATTTAACACGGCTCTACTTGACTGTGTCTCGTTATACTCGTATATGCTTACAAGTCTATAAATGCCTATAAAGGATATCTATATCTAATATCTAGACGCGGATCTGACGTGACACGCGTAGAAAATTAGTGGAGCGTCTCTCATCGAGAGAGAGAGACGCCGTCGTCCGCCCGTATTTTATACATACTCCCTAATTCCTCGGAGTGAAACTTGTGGCGAAACTTAAGTGTCGTTACTCCGACTGTTTTCCTTAATTGCAATAGTCTCAGCGACTATCTCTTAGCTTTGCGAATTATTCGGGAGGCCCCGATTGCAGTCTGGTTTAGAGATTAATCTCGAAGTTAATGTTTTATAATCGCGTGTTTTTTTTTCCTCTAGATTATTAACGGTAATTCTTACGATACTAAACTGTGGTTTAGTACAGAAGGTGAATCGCGATCTAATCGATATCACTGTTAGATTACTGATTGGCGCTATCGTTGATTACGCTCCATCTGCACCGTCGGCCAATTTATTCAAGGTGTATCTTTCCCTCTTGGCGGACCTAATGTCGACGCTTTCTCACGAATATTCCGTGTAAGCTCTTCGTTTCTTTTTCAACACCAATCACCGCGACGATTTGTATCTCAGGTTGAACTCAATGTCTCGTTGAAACTGAATCCGCCCGGAGCGCGACGATTGCGAAGAAACAAGGTCTTTTTCTCTTCGAATTTGCGGATCGGAGAGATGGCAGCCTTGTAATTGATCCGAAGAAAACGGCCGATCGAGATTAATCAACGAAGGTCGATTGACGCGTCACGCGATAGAAAGAAGGACAATTTGTTCGTTTTTAAAGCGCGTCCTTCCCGTCAGACCCGACAGACACCGCTTTGTCGTACACGTTTAATTACGATATACAAAACTAGCTTACACACTGTTATGGAACACTCAACTCTACGGTACTATAAAACGTAGAAGCTTGTACCCCGTCGAGAGTAGGCTAACGTATTCGTCGACACTATTCCCCCCCCCCCCCCCCCTTCTTT